CATCTTGCTTCAAATATATGACGATTATATAATTTTGGCATCGTGATAGAGTTCTAATACATTTCCTTTTGACAATTAAAATGAAAATAGATCAAATCATTTTCCAAAATTGATTTTTTTTCGAACTGGTGTTAAAGGACTTGTATTTTCACTGTCCCTGTATACCCTTATCACACATGAAACAGGGTAAAAATTCAGACGAGAGCCAACCTTGCTTCGTCATTGTTGAGCTGAGAACAATCATGACTTACAAGAAACTCTTAAACCTAAAATATCTTTTAATATGTAAATTAACGAACGATACCAATTTGAGTGTGCATGGTACGTTTATAACGTGTCGATCTGATGAGTAAATCCCTTTTCAACTGATCTTTACATTTTGCTCTGCTGTTCTGCGGTTACACCATTATCCAATATAAGTGGTTGGTTGAATGTTCATAAACATGTTTAACCACTGTCATATTCCCAAATCAGGCGTCTGAGCAGGTGATGGTATGGTTCTTCGTATAATATTCAACCTGGAATTTACAAATAACAAAGTCTATTATTAAGTTCAAATGATTTATTGATCTTTATTGGCAAAACAATGAAATAATATGGTCTTAGTTGTATTCATCTTCATCTTCAGATACTTTCTTGAATCCCTTCAGAACTTCATTTTGTAGAAACTTTCGTTTTTCAATGGCAAATAGTGGAAATAAAATAATTACAAAAGAGAAGCGATAGATAACAAATGACTCAAAACTGATCTGACAATCTGACAATGCCATGACACAAAACGAAAAGCGACCAAAAGACAAACAGTATACTGTGACAAAACACAACATAGGAAACTAAAGGCTGAGCAACACAAACCCCACCACATACTGTGTGATTTCAATTGCTCCGAAAGGGTAAGCAGATATTTCTCCACATGTGGCACCCGTCGTGTTGCTCATGTGAGTATAACCCGTTGATAAGTCTAATTTAGTAGGTCACATTCGAGGAAAAAAGGAAGGAATTGTGGTTACAATTGGATCATATTCATCGTCATCTGTGAAACAGATATTCCATAACGGTCAACCAACACGTGATGGCGTACGTAAAATTTTCGAAGGGATGATTTCACCTTCACCACATGGAACTCTTGGTTTAATAGCTTCCTCATAAGTTGCAACCCTCTATCAAGGAAATCATAATAGTAAATGCAAGCTCTGGAATATCATATCAACTGGGAGATATATACTCCATATGCAGGAACTGCTAGAAAGTTGCTACATAGAAATGGAAAATTCACAATTTGGAAGCTTAAATCATCTCTTTTGTCGTAAAGGTTTGTTCTCAAGCGACCCTCATTGTCAATTTCTAGATGTAAGTCAGGATATGAGGCAGATTTAACGGTAACTGTTGTATCAAGTTCGATGGTGAGATGAGTTCAAGTCACCAAACTTAGTATTATTAAATGAGAGGACATCATGTACATAGCGGAACGTGCAGGTTAAGAACAATACCTCATATATGAACGAAGGAACAAGTCGGCAAGAAGAGAATGACAGTTGGTTCCCATGGGAAAAACACGTCCTTCAAACGTAACAAAAATGTTGTCAATCAATCAAGAAATTAAGCATCTTGATAATGTCATTTTCAGAAAATTTTTGTTTGAATCAGAATGATAATTTTACAAATCATGATTTATACCTCTTTAAGAAAAGATCTTCTATCTATGTCGGACATTCTTGTTTATGAAACAAAGCGGGACCAATTCTTTCAATTTGTCTTTAGCTTTTAGTTTACAACTGTGAGAACTATTGTGTGTTTCAAAATTATAAACAACAAGCACAATTCTCTGTAAAAAGCCGCTTAAAAGTTTCTATCTATTACATTATCTTTTGTTTTATATAATGGAATAAAGAATATTTAAATTTGGCAAAATTAATCATTTAAATGCAAGACAATAACATGCACTTTATCCTTATGTTCTTTTTAAGCCATGACAGCCAAGTAAGTTGGTTGACTGGAAAGCATAAAGCTTTATACTAGAAACCCGTAGGTTAACTTCAGGCTTAGTTGGATAGAAAGATCCGGGTTATTGTCCTAGATTCTACTAAAGTCAAAATATAGGACAAAGCATATAGACACCAATTGTGTACATGTATTTTCACGACATATCAACCACCAGTGGTTTCAGAGTTGGGTCAAGCAGGCTATAAGTTTGGTAGATAATGGTTCAGTGGTTTCAGACTAGCAGATTGTTTTCAAGATTACAAGAAGAAGAAAAGTGATGGAAATGGCTTACATTTTAATGGCATTCCACCTCAGCTATAGTTTTCATAGCCCATAAATTATAATATTTTTATTACAATAATCTGTACCCTCTGCTCTTTAAACAACTAGTGAGAAACATAAACTGTTGACAGAGATATGTCTTGGCTTTATGTAATTTTGATAGCATAATGCAAATGTTAAAATTAAAACGTTAATACATTAACATGTCATGTAAACTATGCAAAGCATTCAAAGTCAGTGAACCATGACTAAAGGTGCAGGGCCAAATAACCTCCATGGAAATGAAAAATGCCAATGGTAACACAACTGCATACAAAACACCATGGACTCATGAATGGCTCCAATCACAAACGTTCACATGTAAGCTATGCAAGAGATTCGAAGTCAATGTACCATAATGAGAGAGTAGGGCAATATAATCTCCATGGAAAAGAGACACACAAAAACTTATACAACTGCATGCCAAATATCATTGACTTACCATTGGTGGTTCATCTTAAATCAACCTAATCATAAAACCTATGTAAAAATTTCAAACTGAATAGACCATGATTGAGGGGGCCAAATAATCTCCTCAGAAATGAGTTGTGTAAATGCTTATACAACAGCATACCAAATATCATTGACATTCCAAAGGTGGTTCCGCATAAACTTACTTAATCACAAACTTCAACATGTAAACTACGCAAATTAATCAAAGTCAATAGACTGATGGGGCAGGGACAAATAATCTTCATGGAAATGAGTCATGTCAATGCTAATAGAACTGTATACCAAATATCATTGACCTACTACATGTACTACAATCAAACAGACCTAATCATAAACTAATACATTGTTGATGTATAAGTCTCCCTATATCGACTTCAATCTAGGAAGGACAAAATATTGAATGAATAAGACAGAGGTTGTTGTTAAGACATCAGATCAATTTATCTTTGTCATGGCATTGTTGCTTTTTTCCGACTTATGATTTGTTATTGTCCCTTTAGAATCTTTTACCTCTTTTGATTAAATGTATTTTGGGTGAAGATACCGAAAGAGCTGCAATATCATGTTTCTATATTCATATTGTGTATAGTATTCATATTAATTAATTCAATTCACGATTTAAAAAAAAATTACTTTGTTATGGCCTGAATCACTTTGTTTGCATGGTCTAAATATCCGTTTCCAAGTCTTTTTGTGATGTTACTTTAGATGTAGACAATTTTTTCTATGCAGTTAAGAATTTATAAATACTCCATTTGTGTTGTGTAATATTTTAGAAAACTGGACATCTCAATTTCCTTTTTAGCTCACCTGGCCCAAAGGGCCAAGTGAGCTTTTCTCATCACTTGGTATCCGTCGTCCGTCGTTAACTTTTACAAAAATATTCTCCTCTGAAACTACTGGGCCAAATTTAACTAAACTTGACCATCATCATTTGGGTATCTAGTTTAAATAATGTGTCCGATGACACGGCCCGCCAAACAAGATGGCCGCCATGGCTAAAAATAGAACATAGGGGTAAAATGTAGATTTTGGCTTATATCTCCGAAACAAAAGCATTTAGAGCAAATCTGACATGGGTAAAAATGTTCATCAGGTTAAGATCTATCTGCCCTGAAATTTTCAGACAAATCAGACAACCTGTAGTTGGGTTGCTGCCCCTGAATTGGTAATTTAAGGAAATTTTGCAGTTTTTGGTTATTAGCTGGAATATTATTATAGATAAAGATAAACTGTAAACAGCAAAGTAAGATCTACAATTAAGTCAACTTGACTAAAATGGTTGATTGAACCCTTAAGGAGTTATTGCCCTTTATAGTCAATCTTAACAATTTTTTGTAAATTTTTGCAATCTTTTACAAAAATCTTCTCCTCTGAAACTACTGGGACAAATTTAACCAAACTTGGCCACAATCATCATTAGGGTATGTTGTTTAAAAAATGTGTCCGATGACCCCGCCTGCCAACCAAGATGGCAGGAATGGCTAAAAATAGGACATAGGGGTAATATGCAAGTTTTGTCTATTATTTTTTGAACCGTTATAAATAGAGAAAATCTGAAAGGAGCAAAAATGTTCAGAATAATGAGCTTTACCAATTATCCATATACGTCAAAACTGTTAGACAAATTCTTATAGGAGATATTGCCCCATAAATAACAAATTTTACCATTTTTTTCATTTTTGTCTATTATCATGTTAACTGTGATATTTAAAGAGAAACATGTTTTTTTTTCTGTTATGCCTTATATGATTTAAATTATAATAGATAAACAAACACTTTAAATCACAAAAATGATCAGCAAGAGAAGATCCATTAAAAAGTCAAATTTTGCAGATATAGTTAGTAGAATGTCACTCTTCAAAGGAGTGATTGCCCTTAATTGAGGATTTTTTTTTTATCCTATTTTGTGTTTTGAGCAAAAACTAAAGAAGATAGAGAGAAACTAAACAGACTAAAAGATCAGTAATACAAGATCAACAAAATAGAGATTTTCTTCATGAAGTCTATTCTCGTCCACAGTGTTGGAGTGTCCTTTGTTTGATATATATGCACATAGACCAAGGTGAGCGACACAGGCTCTTTAGAGCCTCTAGTTTTTTTAAGTATGATAGCCCTATTTTTTCTTTAATCTTTTACCTTTTCAAATAACTCCATGATAAAGTACATCAAAATTATTATCTCTCTATTATCATGTTGTTTTATATCTTTGTATGATTGAAAAGTAAATGAAACCAATTACACAATATAAAAAAATATTTATTCATTCATTAATATATCATCTACAAATATGGACGGACTATACATTATAAATTACATTTGCAATAAATAACATTACTCACCATTCAGCTCACAAACAATGACAAAATGAAGTGAAGACTTAACAACAATTCTAAATATTTCTAAATGCTCTAATGTGGTATGCCATAATTTAAACTTACCTCTCTCATGTTTTTTGGGTCACAATCTCTCAGTTTTCACCAGTTTGGAGAAAAGAGATGGCTGAACGGGAATATCAAATTGGGCATCCCCTTTTTAACTTGATAATGAGCATAACAAATTTTCATGATATTTCTTATAACAGTTAACCTGTATAAAAGTGTAATGTACTCAAGAAAACTTTAACAAACTTCAGATATGGACCTATAGGTAGAGTATAAAAAGAAGAGCCCTGATTCCCTATGAAGCTCTTTGTTGCATATCAATCGATGTTGTTGATATTCTTTTTTTAGGTTTCTCTTGACATGCTGTTGACATGCTGTTTATATGTATGGAGAATCGGTGTATTCCAAAAAACAGCATGTACAAAAATAAATTAACTTGGTACATGAGGAGTTTATTACTATGGCAATTCTGTTTACATTTTAATTTTATTTTCATTATTACTATTTTCAAGAATGTTATAACTTGAATGTATAATCAGTAACGTCCGCACAGAGAACTGGCAAAAAATTTAAAGTTCTATGTGCAATTCTCAGTGTTTGCACGGGAGAAAATTGTTTGCCACTACATTCTCCACTCAGGATACTACAGTATCCACTTAACCAAAAACATATTCATTATACATTGTCAGAAAAATAGCATAATAGCAGAGAAACGTTATTCTTCCTGATGGCCAGAAGAATAGACATGTTTGCTATTTTCCAGGCTAGCCAGAAGAATAGACACTGCCTTTTTTTGCATAAGGAATATTGTACTTAAGTTAGAAGAGACAAAATAACAAACATGTCCACAAAACAAAATAACAAATATAAAATGTTTCGATAAATTTAAAAATCTTGAGGCAGATCAATAAATTAATATACCAGCAAAAAGTTGCAGTGATATATAAAGAAAAATATACTTACAAATATTAACATTCTCACCTAGCACTCACTCTCATAATAGTTCAATAAACATACATATATGTATTATAATACAATTCTGATGCTTTTTTAAATATCTGTTGGAAAACTTACTAAAATCAATCATAAAAAATAAATAGAGCTAACATTTTATACTTTTTATACAAAAATGACTTTATATACAAGATTTTATCTTCTCATTTATAATCACTTAATATTCTTCAATTTCAAACTTACATAATTTGAGGTGAGGTAATTTTTTTTTTTTTCATTTTCCAACAAAATTTATGTCAGGCCTATTCAAAAATTGTTTGCAAAAGGGGGCAGTCATTATCAATATTATTTTGCTTGCTGTAAAAATTCCCTTTTTTTAACACTTTGACCATGGTGTTGTTGGTTTATCTTTGACTAAAGGCTTTTGATTGACACCTTTGGTATGTTAAGAATAATTTCAAGACAGCAACTGAATAGAATTTGCTTTTTTTAAACCAAAAATATGTTTAGAAGAATTTCTGGACTGAAACTGAAAAAATGTTTTCTCAATGCCATATAAATAGTTTTTCATGTCTTCAAAACATTCTGTATAATAAAAAAAAACTCCAGTAAAATCCAACAATTCTAAAATATTTCAATCAGTGCTAAAATAGCAAAAAGACCTTCATCCCACTAACAAAAAATCACATTTTTCTGAAATTAAGTTTTGCATAATAGAAGTTTTAAATGCCATTAATTCTCATTAATTTATCTGTCATTTTGGATGGTCTTCAGGGATTCACCATTATACATGCATGCATTCATTTTTGAATTTACAGAATCACAAGTTGTCAAAAAAAAAGTTTATCATAAATGAAGTAGGGATGGCAACTGGTACAATGATTAACTATCAGAACATCTGAATACCAAAGAGTTAAATCATTACAAAGTTATCTAACATATTTATGCTATTATATTTTAAAATTAATTAATTGGTATTTAAAGTTGGTACTGTCCATTTATGACAATCATTCTTTATTGGTTAATTAGTCCTCGTAAGGTTAAGGTTGGTACATTTTCACAGGACATTATTTGGCGCAAATATAATACTTCAAAAATGCTTGCATACCTTCATACTAGTACTGGAATTTCATATATAGGTATATTTAAATCTAACTTTTTCATTGTGCAACCATTCCATATAATACACGGAGATAATCCCTCCTTATAATGCACAGATATTTTGTCTAAAGTTTCTCCTGTAAAAAGCACCAACATGTATGTTCAATATATATTCTGATTGATGATCTATGATTTGAACAGAACAAAGTTTGAGTTCTTATTAATTAAGGAATGACTGTAATATTTTTTCTGTCTATGAAGAAATAACATCAAAAATGTGGTGCGCACTGAATAACCCGCGTAGCGGGTTATTTTAAAGTGTGCACCACATTTTTTATGTTATTTCGAATAGACAGAAAAAATATTTCAGTCATTTCTTATAATTTAATTCTAAATTCCATTTTAAACCGGAGTAAACCATGAAAAAATGTTGATGACGTCACGGTCACATGACAAAATTATGTCTATGAGCTGATAAACAAAACAACGTCAGCCAATCAGAAGACGCGTTACATCCAAAATTAAATTATTAAGTTATATCCTGCACTATAATGGTTAAATTTATGATATCACAGATCAATATGGAAATAGAAAACCTAAAATCTATTGATGCTACACAAACAATGTATTGACAATAACTGTAAATAAAGCTATACAAAACAAGTATGGTGTAGCAAGTCTGATGGAGCTTCCAGCACCAGTACCAAAAGGATAGAAGAAGTCATTTGGCACTTTGGCAATAAATATAGGAGCATCACCAACAGCTCCAGTGGCTGGTGCTGACACGTCTACAAAAGAGACAGACTGACTGATCTCAAACGACTGATCTACATTGGCATTCCCTGGCTGGCAGGTACTTCCTGAGCACTGTAAAGTATAAAAGTCAGATTATAAACAAAAGCTGCATAAAGCAAATTAACCAAAAAATGTCAGAATAAAATGATGTCCCTGAAATGTTTTTTTTTTTAAAAGACTATGTTCCATATACAGTAAAACCTGTTTTAAGAGACCACTAAAGGTAGAGCATAAAAGTGGTCTCATACCACAGGTGGTCTTTTAATACAGGTTCAATCTATTGGAAATGCACTACAAAGTGACCTAAAATTGGTGGTCTTATAAAAAAGGTTTTTGCCTAATAAGGTTGTCTCTTAAGCAGGTTTGACTGTAGATGTCTTTTGACTTTTAGTGTCATTGGTTTGCTGTATACACAAAATGTATCCCACAATTCATATCCAAATTAATACAATTCATCCAATTTAACATGTCTTATGGACTTGTATCTGCACACTAGCCAATTAAACATGTCTTATGGACTTGTTTCTGCACACTAGCCAATTAAACATGTCTTAAGGACTTGTTGTATCTGCACACTAGCCAATGTCTTATGGACTTGTTGTATCTGCAAATTAGCCTATTAAACATGTCTTATGGACTTGTTGTATCTGCACATTAGCCTATTAAACATGTCTTATGGACTTGTTGTATCTGCACATTAGCCTATTAATGCTTATAAAGAGAGAAACATTGGAATTAATTAGGGATATTTTTGTATGTCCAACTTGCAAAAAAAGTCCCCATTTAAGATTTTTCTGATAATCAAACTCATCTAAGGTTATGATTAGCAGAACTTGTCATACAAATTTAAAGAGGACCCAGTGAAAAATGAAGGTGCAATTCTGGTAATAAGAATACTATGGGTTATTTTTACAAATTCATGGACTTTTGGGTATGGTCTAACAAACATTTTTTTTTCATCTGAACATACAGGAAGACTCCTTTGATTTTTCCCTAAAATTTATTTTTATTTCATTTATAGTACTAGTCCAAAGTGAATATACAATAAGACTTCAACAAATTTAATGCTGTTCTGTTGTTTAATTAATTAATTTTGATGCATTTTACTTTCTTCTAGTTAAATTTAAAATGGAAATTAAAAGTACATAGATTGGGTTACATACAATATACCATTTATTATTTATCTATTGCATTATTTCTCATATAGATTCTACAGATTGAAAACACAAAGAGAAGAATTGATTGATTAAACAGAAATTATTCTGATTGATAACATCCTATTCTATCATAAATAAATATATCCTACAATATGCTAGACTGACATGCTGAGCAAGAACATAAGGGATTATATTCTACAGGAAGATATGTAAGGCCATTTTTTTTTCAGGTAGCAGCTCACAGGAAGAAGTCACCCTACCTAGACTCTTCCTGACCAAGACTTTGCTCTTACACCATAAAACTGCATGCTTAGTTGAAATGTATCAATTATCAATTTCAAAGTCTTTAGAATATCCCTGCCTGACAGCCTCCAGCAATCAAGGTGAGCACACTACTACAAGATCACCAAGGCAGTCAAATGTAAAGATGAAAGGTAAGAAGAAACATGTAATCACAAAAGGAAAGTTATTATACTTACAGTGTAAGTAATTGTTTGTAGTTGATCATAAGTGAAACCCACTCCAAGTATCTTTGCCTGAGGATTAGCTTTGGAACCAAGATTTGAATACACTATCTGGATATGCATTCCCATAGATAACTGACATGATGGCCCATCCAAACTTTGCTGAAAAAAATATTAAAAGTTATTTAATACAACTGAAGTGTACTAACAAAAACATAATATTGTGTCATCAGGACATCATGCCCCAGCTCACACTATCCATCTTCACTGTACAGCCAAATCTGGGTAAAACCCTAAATTGGCATATGTTCTATAAAGTTCACATCATAATGAACATATGTACTAAGTTTCAAAATTAATGGGAACAAAACTTCATGGTAAAATACTTTAAACCAAAACTTTAATCTGATTAGTGAACTTAAAATCCGAGTAAAAACTCCAATTTGGCATTTATCGTAAACATTTCTCATCATAATGAACATATGAACTAAGTATTATGTTGCAGACAAAACAATGTTCAGTAATAACTGGTATACCACAATTGATTTCTAAAATAAAGACTTAAAATGAAATAATCCTCTAAGAAAGTAGGGGTCCTGACATGTCAGTAGGGGCCCTGAGATCAGTAGGGATCCTGAGATGTCAGTGGGGGTCTTGAGATGTCAGTAGGGATCCTGAGACGTCAGTAGGGGTCTGAGACGTCAGTTGGGGTCATGAGATGTCAGTAGGGGTCCTGAGATGTCAGTAGGGGTCATGAGATGTCAGTAGGGATCCTGAGGTGTCAGTAGGGGTCCTGAGATGACAGTAGGGATCAGAGTATGGTACATTTGTGTCACAGAAATTCATAATTTGTGATTCTTGAAAATATAATTTTTCTAGTAATGTTTGATGATAGTTGGGGTAATTTATTTTTACTTTTAAAACAGATGCATTTTAATAACCTGAGGTTCCAGAGAAATTAATTGTTAACAAGATATTCAGGATTATTCATTGAAATGTTTGTTAATTTTACACCTATCACACTGATCAATAAAATACACTGTCTCTGTCACTGGCAAACATTTTCCTGTAAATGAATACAAAAAATGGCAATTGTTCAGTTTAAACATTAAAATTTGACTTTCTTCAACTGTGAAGGCTTTTCGTGATGTTAACCTAAACTTTCAAGGACTGTGCACTGATTCACAAAACATAGTCCTTGTCAATTTAAAAAACTTGACCTTGCATTAAAAGCGTGCAACTCTTTTTCATTGACAGTTTAAATAAAAGTTTTAAAAGCCTTGATGTCACTTGTATTTTAATTAGAAAATGACTGTATACTAGTTTATAGTGTATATTCTGTAATTAGTCATGATAGCCATGATAGATCAACAATAACACCACTTCAAATTTTGAAAGTACAAATCCTGATGTTGATTTCAATTAAGTTAAGTTCCAACTGCCACAGTGGTTTCAAATGATAATAATGTTTTTGTAGTGAACTATAAGTAAAACATTTGCTTAATCAATTAACAACCAATCTTGCTACTTTAAAGAAGAGTGACTTCCTTTTTATGTTGATATAGCTTGATGGTTTCCATTAGAAATGTAGTCTCCTGTTAGATCTGGTTTCTAATCATACTTACTGCTGATGTAGTCTTTCTGTCTGTAACCTGTAAAATATGAACCTAGCTTTAATCTGGTTCCTAATTATACTTACTGATGAAGTAGTGGTTCCTGCTGGAAACTGTAGAATAGGAACCCAGTCTCCAGTCTGTTCTGGTTCAGAGTTGCCAAACGTAGCTACATATCTATTTTTAATAGGTTCTACATTGACATAATCACTACTTCCTTCTAGAGCAACGTTGATAGCTTGCTGCATAGCATCACAATATTCTGCTACAGTTACTGTATCTAGGTTAAACCTAAAAGAAGAAATGGTACATTTCACATACAACATCATTGTGTTTTTCCAAAATATACACTTCGACACTGAAAGCATTTTTTTTTAGAGACAGAATAAATTAAAAGCTACACTACAATATCTCAATAAATAGTTCATATTTTCCCACCTTACACATAAACAATGAAATAATAAAAATCTCTTTTTGATTTTAATATTTCTAATCCTTTATAAAATGACTTTTACTTGTACAAAATCTGGATCCAAATGAAAAATGTGGTGATCCGTTTGACAAACTTCTGTTAAGAGTTTAAAGAAAGATAACTCAGATGGTTAAAGTTAACAGAAAATTAACAAGGATGTCAGACAAAGCTTAAAGGTCAGATTTAGTTTATCTTAGTCTGGCATTCAATTTAAAAAAAAGCAGCAGAAGATATCAAATGGACAATCAACAAGAGGCTCATTAGAGCCTGGATTGCTCTTCTGTCAACATATATCTTGTATTGCTAATCATTTTAAATTTCAGTTTCTCTCTATTATACAATAGAGATAATAGACAAAAACTATAATAAAGTCCAAAATTGTCATTTAATGGCAATAACTGCCTTTAGGTTTTCCAAAGTCATGGTAAATTTATAACATTATTTGAAGATTAAGTATTGCTGTTTATTTTACAGTTTCTACATATCTACTTTGCTTTCAAGAAAAAAAGCAAAAACTAGAAAATGAATAAAAAAATCTTCAGTTAAAGGTGATAACTCCTATAAGGTGCCATACAATGGTTTCAGCATTATGACATTTTTGTAAATCTTGTATAGCTTATCATTTTTGAAGGCTACAGTTTTTACTAATATATTATAGTTTTTTTGAAAATACACTTTAAAAATCCTCATTTAGGGGCAATAACTACTATAACGATTCATCTAATGGTTTTGGTCATACTGAAATTTTTTTAGACCTTGTTCTGCTGATAAATTTTGCTGATTACAGTTTTCACCTATTACAGTTTTTGAGATAATAGGCAGTAAAGCAATATAAGTCTAAATCGTCATTTAAGGGCCATAACTCCTATAACCAATAAAATAATACTGAAGAGTGATAAAGTCAATTCATAAATTGAAGAATGGAAATTTACTGGATCAGACTGTTTTTCAAATGAAATACTTAAGTGTAGCAAAAATGTTTTGTCAACATGCTTTTTTTTTTATTATCTAAATTTATTTGCTATATTTAGAATTGGAATAGTATACACATTTTGTGTTTCCAACTTTGATTGTAGTACAAATGTTATTTGTAGGTTGAATATAAAATTATTGATTAGGTAAATGATTACTGAATTTAAACAGAAATAGCGTTGCCTCTACTTCTGCAAGAACAAACATGGCAGAATGTGGAAATTTTTACCTTATAAGACAGCCCGATCTCATCTCCTGGCCAAAGTTTACTTGTACTCTATTACCAGCATCTGTCAAACATGTCCCTGCAGCAGATGACTTAACTAACGACAAGTCATACCCATTCTCAACAATGATCATCCTGTTACCAAATGATTCATTGATATACCGGATACCAGCTCGAACTGGTTTACCAACAATGTAACCAGGGTTACCGCTTCTTTCTGTAACATTAACATCATTCACCTACAAACAAAATTGTCTTAAAGTATTAAAAATTAGATATCATTGAAAACTTTAGTTTTAAACATGCACATTTTGTACAAAATAATAACTGTTAAAACAGTCTGCTAAGGCAATGCCTTGTTAGAATGTCAAATCAAGAAAGGTTCAGCCTTATTATGAAAAGCATTTGAACATCATATCTATCATGGCAATAATAATTCAGAAGTTCCTATAGTTTGAGAGTATGTATCCAAATGCCTACAGTGATCTCTCAGTATTTTCAAATACACTTAAAATAGCCCTGTTTCACTTAAATTATAGGACCACATTAATAATACACTCTATATTAAAATCTTTTCAGACAGCTCCATGGAAACATGGTGTTATAAAGCCCTGGGGAGAACATGGGTCAAATAAAAAAATGGATAATAAAAGAAGAAAGTGAGGACAAGAATGCCCCCACTCAAGCTTCAAACGAATGAAAATGGGACGGATGGACGGAAAGCCGGAAGGATGGAAAAACTGAGGGATGGAAAGATGGACGGTCAAGGGTAACCCTTAATGCACCCGTCGTCTACGGCAGTGGCATAAAAAATTCATAAGGTGTCTTGCCTACTTTTGCTGTTAGTCGCAGGCTCAACAAAAATGGGGAAAAATTATTAAAAAACTTCCTCTAGATACTATCTTTTGATTGTAAGAAGTTCTGTTCAAGTTTGGTAAAAATCCAAGAAGGTTTATGAATCTAATAAATGTTTTGAAACTTTAACTGCAGACTGTACGTAATGTTAACTAGAATAAAACTAAGTCTATTTATAAGTAATATACGGAAAAACAGGAAATAAATTTTTACAAAATTTCCTTCTAGATACTAAACAAGCTTCTGTCCAAATTTTGTACAAATCCAGGATAGTTTAAGAAAGTTATTAAAATTTTGAAAGCTTTAACCATAGAGTGAATGTAATGTTAACTGGCAGAAAAGCTAAGTCCATTTATAAGTAGCATACGGATAAACAGGATTTTATTTTTAACAAAATTTACTTTTGAATACTATCTTATGATCACAAACAAACTTCTGTCCAAGTGTGGTACAAATCCAGGATAGTTTAAGAAAGTTATTAAAATTTGAAAAACTTTAACCACAGAGTGAATGTTATGTTAACTGCCAGAAAAACTAAGTCCATATATGAGTAAAATACGGATAAACAGGATTTTTTTTTTTGCAAAATTTTCTTCTGGATACTATCTTATGATTATAAATAAGCTTCTGTCAAGGTGTGGTACAAATCCAGGATAGTTTAAGAAAGTTATTAAAATTTGAAAAACTTTAACCACAGAGTGAATGTTATGTTAACTGCCAGAAAAACTAAGTCCATATATGAGTAAAATACGGATAAACAGGATTTTTTTTTTTACAAAATTTACTTCTGGATACTATCTTATGATCACAAACAAGCTTCTGTCCAAGTTTGGTTGAAATGCAGGATAGTTTAAGAAAGTTGTTAAAATTTGAAAAACTTTAACCACAGAGTGAATATTTGTGGACGCCGCCGACAGACTGTAGGATCGCTATGTCTCGCTTTTGCGACAAAAGTGGCAGGCTCGACAAAAAGATATAAAAGTTATTAACCAGAAACAACTGTATCAGAGGAGAAGAATTTAATACACGTCTCCTTCATTACCAGAGTAGATGTAATTTAGAATTTACTATTAAACATCATTATATAGTGTATAAGCTGTATAGTCAAATGGTGCTAGATTCCATTTGTTTGGTCTAACTGGATTGTAAACTATTGTAAATATATAAATTATAAATGAATTTCCAAGATAGCTATTTTGTTCTGATATTTCTATTTGTGTTACATATTCCGCTGATTGTTTGGACACAATATTTATAAGGAGATAATTGTTTTAAATAATACTGTTCTAATAACACACAAGAGCTTCATATCGAAAGATGTTGTTTCAAAATTTGGAACGCTTGTCACCTTTTTAGAGTATTTACTATTTTATTGACTGAATAGTTGCACAACCTGTCTACTGTGGATTCATTTATTTTCGTGGGAACCAATTTTTTCGTGGATTGAGTAAAAATTGCATTTTCGTGGATATTTGATTTGGTGGTTTTTCCTATAGAAAATGTATACTTCGTTGAATATTTGAATTTGTGGTTCACTTTACCCATGAAATCAACAAAATGTTATACATAATGACTTATCTCAGACAAGTTTTGTAACTAAAGTCTGAAACTGTTGCAGTGAAAAAACTCAGTAAATGATGAAAGTTGGTTTTACACACCTAAGTCAACTATGACCTGAAACTGTTTAGAAAGTGACTAGCTGTGTTAAGCATTACATACCCCTGTAAACTTTGATGTAAATGTCTGAGATAGTGGTAGGTTAGAAGTGGTAATATCTTGTAGTACAAATACATACCCCTGTAAACTTTGATGTAAATGTCTGAGATAGTGGTAGGTTAGAAGTGGTAATATCTTGTAGTACAAATTTTACATTGGCTGTAGATATACCATTAGTTCCATCATAAGTTATTTCATATTCAACCTACAAGTAACATTTGTACTACAATCAAAATTGAAAACACTATTCCAATTTTATATATAACAATAAACTTTGATTATAAAGAATCATCTCTTTCATCTCAACAACAAATGAATACAATATATACAGACAGGGTTTAACCTGTGTCAATTTCTTTTTTCGCCACCTCTTTCACCAAACCAATATATATTTCGCCAAAGCAATATTTTTTTTGCACTCTCAATTTTTTAGCCACCCACCATAAACAGATTTTTGTTTAGGACTTGTTTTCCTTCTTGCTTACACAAACAGATATAGTTTGCATCATTGTTATTTCTATTCTTATTCTACATATCTATTATATAACCTACATTGTAATAAATGAACACTAAATTAGAACAAAAATTTCTTGTAAGTTTTTAAGGATACTATAAAATTTGACTTCTGGGAACACAGGATTCATCTTTAGTTTATCATCAATCAATTTATAAGATATGGCCTGCCTAGTTTAAGTACAAGGAATAAATTAGAGATTTTTCTTACTTTTGACCCCTTTCTTCTGAACAACAGTTTTTTTTATCCAGACCATCGATCGTTAAAAGTAAAAGGTGAGACGTAAAACTTAAACTAAAAACTATAACGATGTGAAGTACCCTCTTCAAAATAATTAATTTAACAAAGTTGTTAAAACAATCCTTTAGGTGACATGTGACGCCATTTTACCTCACATTTTCATTAAACAATACAATTAACACCTTTATCAATTAGTCCATTGTTGTCGATTGCTATCAGATGCAATTAGCTCTGATTCAGCTGATTATTGATTTTCTGTCAAAATCGATACATGTGAAGAGTTCAAGGTGAAATCAGAGTATTGTCCAGCGGGGAAAAAGTTAGAGAAACCAGAAACAAAATTAACAAGATGGACGAAGTCGAACAGTTATAGTTCATTCACCAAATTCTTTTGCCAATCAGGATTTTTAATCACACAATTATTATTCTTTTGCAAAATGAGAAAATGGCGATCGCAAGAGGAAACCCTGTATACAGGGGTGGTCAATTGAAAAAAGTATTAAATCAAAAATCAGTAACAACTAGTTGACCATAATTGATAAATAATCTATTAAATAATTGGATGGGTTTTGTTTAGATTGGCAGACCTTCTGTCATTCAACCAGTGTAAAGATATTACTGAAACTTCAATAAGGAATAACAGTACTGAAGAATGAATGTCTAAATGTACAACCGTACCTGCTGCTCTCTAATTCAATAACAAACGTTCAATGATATACTGTCAATTCAGAAATTATTGCGAGGTTTTTGTTAATGCGAATAATGCGACTGTGTGAGTGTCGCAATAATAAGAACTTGCATTTTGGTATCTGATACATATATCTGTATGCAGATTTTCCTGAAATCGCAATAATTAAACTCGCATTTTTGCCTATTCTTCAACAATCTCAATAATAAATGCACGCAATAATATCCGAATTTACAGTATCAGAAACACAGTGTAATTAATCATCAGATGTTCATAAAAAGATCAGGTCATGCTAAACTTCAAGTGGACTATTTAAGACTTTGAGATTTTTGTTATATTAAATTTTTGGTCCTTTTCAATACAGTGAAAAGTACAGCAGGTAGTGCTGCCTAAGAGATTACAACTGGTTGTCAATTTATGACTAATAAATCACTGTCTAGAAAAAAACAAAAACTCAAGAACCACAAGAAAGTATTTGTTCTTGGATTCATGGCTATTTCTTAGTATATAATGGCTTGATTATCTCAATTACTTAAATCTTATTTTTTCCAAAACTGAAGGTATTGTTATGAGAGAAAAAAAAACTCTGTTCTTGCTTCCCATATCTTCTTTTCATCAGAAAGCAAACTATAGCCAAGTCTGAACAACTATTACACTTTTCAAAATAAGGTAGGACATTATTTCTAAGTAATGTTATAAATACATTACTTTTTTATAGTGGTACCATTTTTGACATTATGATGTGACATTTCTATGCATCAGGTTGAGAAACAAGTACAGGGTTTACCAAGGTGCTGGATGGTTCAATATACATTTGGTCAAGTGGACAAATATTAATAACTGGTTCCATTTAAATTTTACTGGACAATCAATATTGATAAAACTAGATGTTCTAAACAATTAGTTAAAAATTTTGTCCACTAAAATCTAATTGGACTGGTACCACAATTAAGTCAATCAAGCAGTATAAAGATACTACTGAAACTTCAACTAAGTCATTCAAGCAGTATAAAGGTAATACCTCATTCAAATTTCACTGGTACCACAAGTATTTTACTGGATATGTCTGTCAATAGCAGTGTCCTTGTGAACTCTGCAAATGTATTATATACTATTTAAAATCTTTCTACATGTTGCTGTGCCTAAGGTATATCAATTTTTAAGACAAGGCATCAATATTAGTGGTATTATATATTACCTGTGTAACAACATTTTGACAAGTTGCAGTACCAGTATTGTATGTTGGAGCTGGTACTGTCCCTGTGGGGAAATTACATGTGATGTTGTTACCAGTGCTGTCCCTGCACTGTACTGTAGATAGTCCTATATCTATTGTGTATGTGTTATTGTATAGGTCAATCTGGAATGGAGCCACTGAAATTATACAAAAACATAATGGGTGTCTTGATTAAATAATTGTTACCGAACCAAGTTCTACATCCAATAGGGCTCAAAACATCATTCTGATTTTAAAGAAAGACATGTAATAAAACCTGGAAATAAAATGCATACAAACAATTTTCATATCAGTCCTTCAGATAGCTGCAAGAAACTGTGATTTGTATTGCAAACAAATTTCTCTGCTCACCACAAAAACTGATTCAAATTTCAATTTCTAAAACATACACACCATTCATTAATTAATATCTGTTGACAAGTTTAATTGTGTTGGTTAACTTGTATTGATAGGTTGCTGTCCAACTGACACAAATTGTGAAACATGTGTAATTTAAAAGGTGAAAACAGTGTACAAGTAAAATTCTATAAAGAAAAACCACAAATTAAATAATAAGTCATGAACTTTGTGTATATTTTTCCATATATATAATTAAAATAATGAACATTTAAGCAATTTGTTGAAGTTTTAAGGCATACCTCATGTAATTACAGAGAAATATGACATATATAGCCCTGTATTCATACTACTGTTCTCAAAGGTTAACCGGTTATATATAGATTATAGTCCACAGTCTTAGAAAAGAGAAATAGATTTTAACATAGTACAATGAAATATAGACAAAAGTCCCATAAAAAGAAATACAGGTTAGTTCAAAGTCTTAGCAGAGAGAAATGCAGATTATAATCCCTTTTTAGTATAAAGAAACACAGATTATAATCCATTTTTAGTACAGAGAAACACAGATTATAATCACTTTTTAGTACAGAGAAACACAGATTACAATCTCATTTTAGTAGCGAATTATAGTCCAAAGTCTTATTACAGAGAATAAACTGTTAACACAGAGATATGTCTCTCCTTAAAAGGCTTTTTGTACTTTTGATGTTGAAATTAAAATAGCAATACTTTAACATGTAAGTTATGCAAATATTCAAAGTTAATGACTGAAGGTACATGGCAAAACAATCTCTATGGAAATGAGATGTGTCAATGCTAATACAACTGCATACCAAATACCGTATAGCGGGTTATTTTCGCGGGTGTAAAATTTCGCGATGTGGGGGCAACAAAGTATACGAAAAATTTTGGCGGTTTTTATTTTGGTGGATTCATAAATCCCAATTAAATATTTTGGTGGATACTGAAATTGTTGCAGTTAAAAAGTTGTAAAACTTGACAAGTGTCTATTGTTATGGTTAATTAATTATTTTTTTTTACCGAAATGACCTCTTATTTATTGATTAGTTTCTGATACAGTTAATCATGAGAATACCGCTAACATAGATAATTATTTGTTATAGGTATTCAAACGTCTTGTAAATTTTACGATTGATTAGATTTGACCGGACCTTTGATGTACTTACTAATTAGGTTACAAAATTATCATGAGTGTTTACAACTCTTATATAGTTTGACACTTATTAATATGGGGTAATTACCTGATAAGAGTACCTTACACTCTTATTCTAATTGACACTTATTAATAAGGGTATACACACCTGACAGTCATTTAATAAAATACATTTATGTACAATGCCCTTTGGCATTTATCTTGTTAAAACTAACATATACAGTTATTGACCTGCCAACAGGGAAAAATAGATTGTTTACAAAATCCTTTAACCATGTTAACTTCGAAACTACCAAACGTATGCATAAATTTTCGCTGAATTTATTTTCGCGATTTTCGTTTATCCGCCAAAATAAGCGAAAATAAACACCCTGCGAAAATAACCCGCTATACGGTACCATAGACTTATCATAAGTCGTTCCCTTTCAACAAACCTAAACACAAACATGGACTTGTAAACTATGTAAAAGTTTCAAAATCAATGAACCATGATGAGGAGGTGGGGCTATATAATCCATGGAAACAAGACTTGCAAATGCCAATACATTTGCATACCAAATATCATTGACTTAACATAAGCGGTTCATCTTAAACTGATCTAATCACAAACTAATACATGTAAACTAAGCAAAAGTTTCAAAGTCAATAGACCATGACTGAGGGGGTGGGACCAAATATTCTCCATGGAAATGAGATGTGCTAATGCTTATACAACTGCATACCAATTATCATTGACCTACCACTAACGGTTCCCCTTGAACTGACCAAATCACAAACTAATACATGAAAATGAAGCAAAAGTTTCAAAGTCAATAGACCATGAATGAGGGGGTAGGGCCATATAATCTCCATGGAAATGAGAAGTGCCAATGCTTATACAACTGCATACCAAATATCATTGACCTACCACTAGTGGTTCCCCATAAACTGACCTAATCACAAACTAATACATGTAAACAAAGCAAAGTTTCAAATTCAATAGACCTTGACTGAGGGGGCAGGGCCAAATAATCTCGATGGTAATGAGATGTGCCAACGCTAATACAACTGCATACCAAATATCATTGACCTACCACTAGTGGTTCCCATGAACTAGACCTAATCACAAACTAATACATGTAAACAAAGCAAAGTTTCAAAGTCAATAGACCTTGACTGAGGGGGTGGGGCCAAATAATCTCGATGGTAATGAGATGTGCCAATGCTAATACAACTGCATACCAAATATCATTGACCTACCACTAGTGGTTCCCATGAACTAGACCTAATCACAAACTAATACATTGTTGACGCCGCCGCTGAATCCGGAAAAAGCATAACTATGTCTCGCTTTTTGACTCCGTCAAGGCGAGACAATTACAGATTATATAGAATATAGTTCAAAGTCTTAGTAAAGAGAAATAAAGAATATAGTCTATAGTCTTAGTTAAAAAAAATACAGATATTAGTCCAAAATCTTTGTACAGAGAAATAAATGATCACAAGCCTTAATCATTGGAGCAATGTGTCATTTATATACAAAATAATGTGTTGGTTGAGTATTGGCAGAACTATTTAAACCCTGCCGCAAGTTAATGAACCTGTTTCAAGTCTCACACCTCAGGTTGTTGTTGTCTTTTATATTTCTTTCCATACAAAAAATCAGAATCAATTGCAGACTTTTTGTAGCTTTTGTTGAATTTATCAATAGTTTGACAAGACAAATGATATATGATTGTCTTTCACTAAATGTATGTGTTGACCTCTTGATGTTTTTGGAATGCTCTCACAAAGTAGCTTAGCACACATATCTTTTTATTTTTAATTATGGTGGCAATAATTTTGTAAGTGTTAATACCCTTTTTAAAAAAATGTTTAAATAAATATTTTGTGGGTAGATATGAATTTCTAAAATCGAAATTTAACATGAATACAGTAAAAAATTAATCAAAATTACTTTCCATTTCATGTTCTCATTACATATAAAAGTGAATAACATAAATATTTGACAGTGCAACAGACCACACAAGCCACACACACTGAACTCCTTTAAAAAATATATCTACTAACACAGACAAACAACATTGAAATCTCATGGTCAAGATAGCTGTACTTTGTACAGGCACAAAAGGTTGATGAGGGTTACCAGTTTAACATAAAACTAATTGTTCAAACTTATGTACAAATGTAGCTGAAAAAAAGGAATTAATTAGTACATTTTATGGTGAATGGTCAAAATAAGCTGAGGGTTAGGCAAGTTAAGGACAAGCATGCTAGCGATCTACTGTCCTTACAAACCTGTTGTTGGTGGTTCTGTGGTTACTATAGTTACAGTAGTGGTAATATTAGTATCTGCAAAGGTGATAGGGCATAAATCATTAGTTTTATTCCTGCTCCCATTAGATATATCATATGTAAAAACTTCTTGCATGCAATTAGACTAATATTAGAAATTCTATAAAAATCAGCATATAACATAATGAATAATTTAGGTTTAGACATTTTGTTGGAAACTTTCCTATTCCAAAACTGTATTATTGTTCTGTCTGTAATATCAGGGAAACTTCATTCATTTCTAAAGTATGCAAGCTGTGCTAGAGATTTAAGAGATCACAATGTCATCACTTATGGCAGACTTTAGATTGTATCACAGAAAGTTATAAAAGAACCTCTTCTAAACACATTAATCTCTCCCACTATATAGAAGGTTGAATATCTCTCCTGGTAATGGACTTCTACATTTATGAAATCTTGCAACAAGGCATGCAAATTAATAGTTTTTATAATTTGTCTATGTTTAATATTTCCATACAGTTTCATAATTCTTCAGTGGATAAATTTTTTAGTTTTTATAAAACCTTAAGAAGGTAACTCCCTCATGCAAAGATGACATCTGTTTATGATCTTAAAGATTCATTTGGCTCCTGTGTAAAAACATTCAGTTTATTCTTCTAATCTTAGCATTATCAAACATGGTAAAAATCAGAAATGGTCCATGCAGTAATATCAGTCTTAACTGAAACTTTGTTATGTTGTTACACCTACATGTACATGGACTAAAAATCTACAATTGAACTATGCTAAACATTATCACAGGATGTGACATATTACACAAAAACAAAAATTGCACTAGCATAGCACATGCATGTTATTATGTTTGTAGTTATTGGTTTGCTGAAAATAAGTTTGAAGGTGGTACCAAACACCTTTTTTTGGCTTGTTTTATTTTCATAAATTTTTAACAAAATATTCACTTTGACCTTTTGACAATAATATAAAAATTTCAAAAAATTTGAACCACACACTTTATCGGAAAAAATTCATTGGATATATAGCGACAAACACTAATTTTCATCATTGAGAAGCTTAATATTTCCTTAACAATAGAACATTATTAAAACGTTCAGCTGATTTTTACAGAGTTATCTCCCTGTAGTGTTATGTACCACCTTAACTAATATGAAAATGATGATTGTTGTTTGCTTAACATCCAGTGTTTTAAGGGGATATAACACTGTAAACTTCATGGATGTTTTGGAAGCAAAAATTGAATACTTATTTGTGGCTAGCTCTTTCCTGAGGATGTATCATAAAGCCAGACAATTTTAAGAGACTGGTAAAAAATCAAAATTCATAGTTTTGATTATCTGAAATATGCCTGTATCATGCCTACACACGTATGCACATGACCTGACTTATGTAATGGGAATCAATTAAATCAGCTGAATTTGAGTATAAAGGACCTGTTAAGTAGATTATCATTGTTAATAAGTGCAAAGTTCACCCATGTGTTTTTAGAATGCTGTTACCTGTTGTAGTGGTGGCAGCACTAGTCGTGGTTGTAGGAACTGTCACAGCTGCTGTTGAATTATCGGTTGAAACTGAAAATCACCACAATATAAAAATACAGAATAGCAAAACCACATACTCTATGTACACAAAACTACTGTTTGGATACAGACACCAAACCAATAAAACCACACACAATATGTACACAGAAGTAATGTTTGGATACAGACACCAAACCAGTAAAACCACACACAATATGTACACGGAACTACTGTTTGGATACACACACAACAAGTAAAATCACATACAATATGTACACAAAACTACTGTTTGGATACAGACACCAAACCAGTAAAACCACACACAATATGTACACAGAACTAATGTTTGGATACACACCACACAAGTAAAATCACATACAATACACAGAACTACTGTTTGGATACACGCCACACAAGTAAAATCACATACAATATGTACACAGAACTACTGTTTGGATACACACCACAAGTAAAATCACATACAATATGTACACAGAACTACTGTTTGGATACACACCACAAGTCAAATCACATACAATATGTACACAGAACTACTGTTTGGATACACACCACACAAGTAAAATCACATACAATATGTACACAGAACTACTGTTTGGATACACACCAATCAAATAAAACCACACACTACTATTAGGATACACACCAAACAAGTTAAACCACACACAATAATTACACAGAACTACTGTTTGGATACACATCAAACAAGGAATTAGCATAAAGAACACACAACTGTTTTCAATTCAATTACTGTGTTGGTTGTTGGGATGGAAATTGCTTATTTTCACCCTTATACTTTAATAATGGAAATTGCTTATTTTCACCCTAATACTTTAATAAAATAACTAAACACCTTGTTGTCTCCATCAGAAAAATCTTAAAAAGCTCATTAGCATAAGCTTATCTTTTTCAAGGAATTCATGTGAAATTAAACCATTTGGGAACCTTATTTTACTTTTGTTAGAAAAAGCAATTCAATTTTAAAACATGCAAATCATGCACAGTATAATTATTATATATATATATATACATATAAATAATAGCCAAAGCTCTATATTGTATAAGAACACATGCATTGTACATCCTTAAAATGAATGCTCAAATATTTAAACTTTACTATTTTGGTTGGAAATTTTTTTTCTTTAATTTGACAGTGGTTTTTTAATAACATAATGAATTTAGAACCAGTTTGTATTTTTTTTTTCTAGCATCAGTGTTTTAAATATTATATTCAAACGTGCATACAAGTTTATCAATGTTATCTTGATATCATGAATAGCTTCCTAGTTTCAATCTGTTAATTTAAACACTCAGTTAACTATTGAAAACTTTGTCAACTTTCTATATTAATTATATATGAAAGGAAAATAACTTTAGAAGATAAAAATTAAAGTATGAAATCTATAGTCATCATATAAATGAATCAATCAATATTACAAAATGAAAGCAAATATTTAAACTCGCATAAGAGAGAAAACAAACTTTAAAACATGCCAATTCTTTATAAAGTATAAAATATACCGTACTCTAACAAATAAACAAATAACACTTATTATGTACTGTGTATCTAAACCTACCTGGTGGTGATGGAGTGGTTGTCGTAACTGTTGTAGATTGAGTTGTAGTTGTAATAACTGTTCCGTTTACAATATATGTAAATAAATAAGGAGTCTGAAAACACATAACAGTAAACATTTGTAAACAACACAACCCAAGATTAGAAAAGGATCCATTTCGTAGCAGAATTCTTGTTGTTTTAATAAATACAGAAAAAATGTTAAAGAATCATGGTTTTTTTTTGGAAATAATGATTCCTTATGAACTTAACTAAAATTTATTACAAATGTATTACACTGATTTTTCTATGAAAAATAAAATTAATATTGAGTACTTTCTTCTAAACATGTAGACTTTTTGTTATTTTATTTTAGAAATATTAAGGTCTGATACATGTAATTTCTGTCATCTTTAAATATATGTCAATATTAAACCAATTTCACCACTTTTAATTTTGAACATGAATGAGAACTTAGTGTATTACAAAGCAGTCAGTTTAATTTTGGTGCCTGAAGGTTGGCCCACAAACCACAGGTGACCATTTGGTAAACAAAACTTTTATCACATATGAGGAAATAAATGATGATGATGGATAGCTGCTTTACATCCAGCGGCAAATTAATATGCATATTCAGGACGAGAACATGTTAATGTAATATGAATATTTACCCTGCTTTGTACTAGACTGACACGCTGAGCTTAATTTTTAACGTACTAGTTCACAAGGTAACAGTCCGCAGGAAAGACATGTCACCTTACCCAGACACATTATTCTGACTCCGAGCCGACCAGTGTTTGCTCTTACTCCTTATTGCTGTGTGCTTAGCGGAGAAGCAGCAAATACCAACTTTAAAGTCTTTGGTATGAGGAAATAGAGTGCATCTTTGTTATTTTTTTTATTGAACTTCTACCATTGTTTTAATGGACTCAAACGATAAAGAATGGCAGATGTCAACTTACTGTAACAACCCTGAATCCTGTGTAATACGACGGAGCACTGAATGATGTTGTACTTTCACATGTAGCCTGGTTTAATGTAGTAAACTGTCTAACACACGATGATGTTTCATCTTTCAAATAAGCTGAAATTAGTGAATAATAGCATTTTATCTTGAACCAGTGTCAATATAAATGATTGTCAGATTGCCATTAAAAAGTGAAATTCATATCCTGCAACCAAAATGTATTGCACTTGTTTAATAAACAAAAATTTCTAAAACTGCAAGAAACAGAATAAGGCCATCACATATAAATGTACAGAGTCAAATCTAACCTGATCTGTAAATGATGATCCTTGTTAGAGTGCATTAAAACATTCTGATGAATGGAACATTTACTATCATCCAAAAACTTTAAAAAACTAAATTTTTTGTTGTAAATAAGAAAAATCTTTTGAACAATTAATTCCAAAAATGTCAGAGTAAGTCCCCTTAGTTACCTTAAAAAATGTGGTTTTTGTTTTGTATCTCAGTGATAAATTAAATTCAATATCACAAAATCTGTTTCAACTTTATCACTATGTCATAAATCATACATGTATGATATGCTACTTAAAGATCACTTAATAATATTGGCCAATAAGAATATTATTTGACTGCATAAGTATATTTCAGTGTACAAAATCAGATATCTCATTTGAATAAGAATAAAAAAATTTGTGTTAATTTGACCTGTTGACACAATTTGTAATGCATTTCTGTAAATCAATGTTTACTTATTTTGTGTTGTATATCTCGGCTCACTATTTTTAATATGTACCACCATTGATAAGTATTTAGTATGACGATAAATTTTCACTTCTGTACAACAAATTTATTAGTTTTGTAAAAAATGTTTACTTCTGTACTCCTAACAACAAAATTATTATATTTAAATTTACCTGTGTACATTGTTTTATTTAACGCCATTTTGTCCCAGGTTAGAGTTGTCTTATTGACACTCTTATTCATCTTTTTTATTACTACCTGTAACGTCTATGTTATATAGGCACCTACATTTTAATATTGTATTCGTATTGTGTCATAGATCAAACCTATTCGTTCAGTGTTGTTTAAATGTCTTTTTGATTGAGTTAAGCCATTTCAATTGATATCTTAAAGTGTGTCTTTTTATGTTGTAATGTTACACTACTGTCTCAGGTTAGGGTGAAGGTTGGCACCTGTTAAAATGTTTAAACCTGCTGCATTTTTATGCACCTGTCCTAAAGTCAGGAGCCTGTTGTTCAGTGGTTGTCGTTTGTTTGGAGGGGTATAAGATGTTTCACGTTTCTCATTTTTAATATTGATTAGACCATTGGTTTTCCTGTTTGAATTGTTTTACACTAGTCATTTCGGGGCCCTTTATGGCTATTGAAGGCCGTACTTTGACCTATAATTGTTAACTTTTTATACATTGTGACTTGGATGGAGAGTTGTCTCATTGGCACTCATACCACATCTTCTTATTTATATACATGTAGTAGAATAATCTGCAGTCACTTGACCTACCTACTGGACTAGTAGAATAATCTGCAGTCACTTGACTTACCTACAGGACTAGTAGAATAATCTGCAGTCACTTGACTTACCTACAGGACTATTAGAACAACCTGTTGATGTAAGCGAGCTAGGAAGTCCAAGAAAACCTGTTGCAAGACTCTGGTAAACAATGTACACTGGGTCACCAACCTGTAAACCACAAATTGATCATTTCTATGAGGAACATTTTTGTAGTATGGTAAAGGTAAACACAATCTTAAACCTGTAAACAATACACAAATTGAGTATGACTGAAGGCAAGAGGTTTAATGTGGAAATGAGGCTTCTTTTGAGTTAACATTTAAATATATATACCACAAGAGATTACCTGTTTATGCATATTATTGACTAATTATGTTCCAGTCAGATAAAAAAAAATGGTGCTTTGGCAGCTGAAAGGTCATATAAATGCAGAAAATCCTTTAAATTTTTAAGGGTTTCCCATAACTAGCCAAACCTGTTATTTTAAGTATTCACCAAACAAGACTGTTGAAAACAAACATTTATCATGAAATCATATGTCCTTAATTTCAGCCCCTAAATTGTACAGTAACATTAAATACCTTGTAAAAGTTATTAATAGTTGACTGTCCAGTTTGTTCAGTGGCATAGGTATATCCAGCATATTTACTAACATAGTTTTCAAAAGTTGTAGTGTCTGTGATTAAGCTTGGTATGTTGTAATAATTCCTCTTATCATCTGAAAAATAAATAATTTTGTTTCTTTTAATATTTAAATATTTTAGAGAGTCAATATATCCGATCAATGAGCTGATTTATTAGAGGTATGTCCAAGACACAATGTAGTCTCGATATCGACAACATCAACAATATCGAGTCGATATCGACAAATAATGATCCAAATGTTTATCTGCTACATTTTTCTATATAGACAATTTAATTTCTCCTGGTTTGTCTAATAAAGATGTCGATATCGACGACATCGACGATATCAAGTCGATATGGACACATTATATTTCAAATGACTATCTACTACGATAATCTATATAGACAATTTGGATTCTCCTGGTTCGTATTTTTAAGATGTCGAGTCGATATCGACACATTATATTCCAAATGTCTATCTGTTTTACAGTTATGTATATAAACAATTTTAGTTTCTCCCAGGTTGTCTATTTCAGATGTCGATATTGACGATGTCGTCGATATCGAAAAAATATGTTCCAAATGTTTATCTCCTACAGTTATCTGTATAGACAATTTAGTTTCTCCTGTTTTGTCTGTTTTAAGATGTCGATATCGACACATCTTTTAAATGTTTATCTGCTACAATTATATATATAGACAATTTAGTTTCTCCTGGTTCGTTTGTTTAAATATGTTGGCGATATCAATTCCATATCAACATTTAAACATTTTCTTCATAATTTGTTTCTCTATTTATTTCGTTTAGTTTAGTATACGTACCTTAATTACACACTAAGATAAGGGGATGTTGCACGATTTGCAATGAGAAAATAGACCACAATACACAAAAAGAATAAAGATGTTAACAACTATACGTCACTTAACAGTCTTCACAACAAAGATTAACAATAATACCGGCATAACAAAATATCAAATATTTCAAATGGGAAAACAAACATCCTGATTTATGTATATATGATAAGCAAAAATCAAATATGACCGATAGCAACGGACGACAACCACTTAATCAAAAAGCTCCAAAGAAGTCTCAATCACAATAAGGATGTGGCGAGGTTAAACTTGTGCGTTAAAACTTCCCTTAAATCTATGACGGTGGTATAGCATCAATACATAAAATTAACAAATAGACAAAATCACAAAGTACCGATCTAAGAGTACTCGAAACTATTCAAATAAAGTTAAAATCTAATTTCAACCAATAGATAAACCATGTTTTCTCTGTTTGAAATGGGGACCAGTTCACATCCCATGGATCTAAATTTTACATAGCAAGTCATGTTTGTACTATATCTGCAGTTTTAGATCTTTGTATGCAACCATATCTCACTTAGTTAACACCTAAATTACCATGTCAGCCATTGTCAATGTAATACAAGCAAACATTTTGTTTTTGTTTTTTTGAAGGATACATTAATGTGTTTTAAAGGGTACATCACTTTGGAGATGTGACCACCTGATTGTCTTTTAAAAAAATAAATAGATTACAATTCAGCCATCATCTATCCCTATATCAATCTACGGTCTTAATTCATATATATAATCAGCTTGTTATGTCTTATTTTTATTCATTATCTTAAGTCATCATCGATATCGAGTCGACATTGTCGATATCAACATCAGGTTTTGTCATTGGTGTCGTCATCAAAATCTACATCTGGTTATGATATGAGTGTATAAGTTCATCGATATCGATTCGATATTGTGTCGACATTGTCGATATCGATGATATCGACATCTTGGTATGTCTTGGACATGTATGATTTATTAATGTGAAGGTCAAATGTTTGTGATCTCTCAGAGTTTTGTATTGTTAATTTTTGCATACCAAGTTTGAAAGATCTAAATAATAGTGAATATAACCATTCATTTTATGTCCTATCAAAAATATTCCACCTGGTCTTCTAATTACAATTTCAGGAAATGAATTATTAGAACATAGAATTTCCGGACCATATTCAGAAATATTCTGCAATTTATTAAAAGAAAATTTGGACTGTGTGTTGGGAAGGTCCCTTTATGTAAATATTGCAAGGATTCATTTAAATACATAGAAAAGAGCATGCCCCAAAACTATTATAGCACTTATCCAATTGATTTATTTGTTTAGAATTTTGTCCTGAATATGCTTGAACAAGTGAATCTGTGAGCTACTGCTCACTAATGATACCCCGCCCCCCTAAAAGTATAAGGTAAACAGGAAGTTGTTGAGGGATGAATCTGAAAATGCATCACACGGTATAGCCGACTCATATAAACCCTGAAACCAAATTTCATAAATTCTTGTAATGTAGTTCCTCGAGAAAGATGCGACAAAAATGTTCATGGGACGGACAGACTGACGGATGGATGAATGGATGGATGGACAGACAGAGGTAAAACAGTATACCCCCACTTTTTTAAAGCAGGGGTATAATGAACAAGTAAACTGTGAGCTACTGCTCACTAATGATACCCCTGCCCCGCTAAAAGTATAAGGTAAACAGGAAGATGTTGAGTGATAAATCTGAAAACGCATCACACAGTATAGCTGACTCGTATAAACCCTGAAACCAAATTTCATAAATCCTTGTAATGTAGTTCCAGAGAAAGATGCGACGAAAAATATTCATGGGACGGACGGACGGACGGACTGATGGATGGACAGACGGAGGTAAACAGTATACCCCACTATTTTAAAGCGGGTGTATAAATATTTGCAGCTAAATACCAGACTAATAATATTGGGTAGTATTTACATTTTTTTTTAATAAATTGAAAACTTACAATTATCAAAATATATACAAAACAATCCATCTTGTGTATAGTTCTTTGGAAATGGTGCATTCTCCAACAGCAAAATTTCTTTCTGTACACAGATTCTGTCGTCAACACTGTCAAAAGCAAACATTTAAAAGTTAAATGGAATAAAATGGTCAACAACCAGGTTCTTAATAGCATTTTTACATATATAGATTCCAGACACTTTATAAATGTCTCCTTGATTTCCCCTACTAGAGTACATTGACACTTATATTCAGGAACTTTGACATTGTGTAATACTATATAATATTGTTTGTAATGTTAATTTCTTTCTTAGGGCTATTCCATTAAAATGTATGTGGGAGGGTAGGAAGGGACTTTCAAAATATCCCTACAACCAAGAACCATTTTCAAGATAATTTTGCATAATGGTAATAGACGCATACTGAAAAAAGACCCATGACCCACATTCAATAATTAAACTTCCCTTCCTACCCTCCCACATACATTTTAATGGAATAGCCCTTATTATGAGTAATAGGATAACTATATTTAGTATGTTGGTACTTGTGTTTTCAATGAAATGCATGTGACTTCATTCATACAACCGAACAACTATCCGAAATCTTTTGTACGAGTAAAAGTAATTTTACTAACTATTTCATTATATTTCCTATTCTCAATCAAAAAAACATACAGTTAATACAAATTGGCAATAAAAAGAATAATGCCATTTTATATTTTGATACTGACTTCATAAGCTCAAATATCAGCTCGCTCTAGCGAGCTCGCTTGATATTCTTGCTGATGAAGTCAGTATCAAAAACAAAAATGCCATTATTCTATATGCAACCAATAAATGTCTAAATACTCACTTCCCTGAGCTTTCTACACAGCCAGAAAATACGTCTCTATCATCTGATGTACAGTCCAAATCACAGCAACAGTTGACATCACAAGCATTCCCAGTCAGATCACATGGACAAGGTGCTATATCTACAATAAATAACCAGAAGTTATATCACATTAAAGAATGATCTGTGGCTTGTTCTTCTTACATATATTAATAAATTTCTATTACATAACAAAGGCATGTCCTGAACTAATTTCTTAATTCAATTTTGAGAATCCCAATTATTTAATGACAAGTCCATGTACAAGTTCAGTAAAGGACTTACCCATTAGGTGACTTTTTTTTAAGCTGCAAGTCTGCAATGTTTAATGAGTATGTAATTCTACACAGTATAATCATGATAATTGTTATATTTTTACATTTGTTTATATTGGTTTTAGCTATGAATCCAAAATACATGTACAATAAATTTCTTCTTTATTGATGAATAATGAGTACAAATTGAAAATAAATTCTAAACTTGTTGATAAGACACAAGCTTTATTGTAAAAGATGGTCATCCAGAAAACACAATTTTATTTAGAAGGAAATAACAGAATTTTGAAATAAAACATGAGCAGATATATAGCACTTACACTTTCAGAAAATAAAAAAAATAGGGTCAACCCACATATTGTCTTGCTGTACATAACAAAATAGAAAAATTCCTTTATAAAATCAAACTATCTGAGTTATCTCCCCATATGAATAACATTTTTTTTTCATATCTGATTCTCTCAAAAACTATCAATACAAATTCGAACTCATCAGCTGATTTTAAAGGTAATTTCTTTTCACTCAAGAAAAGTTCTTACAAAAACCGTTACACATTATTATTGTATTATTTAAACTTATAACCTGTTAGTTATAGTATTGCTTTTAAAATAATATAATTAATATTTCCTGTAGCTATTTAGTCATTTATATTGAGAGACAATACTTGGCAAAGGTATTTTGTATAGAAAAAATTAAGGACTGAATATCTAAAACCTATTGTTGTCATAATTACAACATTAATATTAATGGTATTTAGGTTTTATATATATGTTAGCGGCAATAAGCTAATGCCTAGACATTAAGTTATTGCCTGAAATTTTTAGGCAATAAGCTTATTTCCTGAAATCTGATAATGATTATTCAACCTATTGCCAAACAAAATTTTAGGCAATAAGTGAACTTTGGGATTTTTGCTTTATCTTCCAAGTACATGTATATTCGGTGTAATATTCCTGATGTAAAGTCTTATTAAAATTATATTCCAAATACCAAATAAATTAACATTAATTTAACAGATCTTCAAATTTTAGTATGCTTCCATTATTAACTTGCATTTCTTTGTGGTATAACACAAATTAATATGTTTCAAACAAGTGATTATATCTAATAAAGGAGGGGGGATTGAAAATTTGATCTAAAAATCATATGAAGAAAATTCACACTTCACTGGTCCAGCTGGTTTTGGTCTGGTCAAAAGTAGACATAAATTTTTGCTCACAACATCTTTGCATTGATTTTATTGGATATGAAAAAAAATACTGTTAAACATTTTGTTAAATACCCCTAGGCCATCTGGTCTTTTTTCACTTCTTAATCTGGATTATTATCATTTAAATGACATGCTACTGAAGTTACATTTTTTGAATCTTTGCAGTCTTAATTTGAATAAGGGAAAACAAGACGCATATACTCAAGACAGTAAAATGATCTTTTAGCAAAGATTAAACTTTTAACTAAAAGGCGGCAACTGTAGACATGATAGACTACTACAATTTGAAAAGTTATGACATTTTTACTTTTAGAGGCTTTGAAAGGCTTTTGATAAGTAAAGTAAAGGAAAATGATGAGGAATATTTAAAAATTTTTGATTTTCTAGAGGAAATGTATCATGGTACATTAGAAAAGGCACAAATACAGGTATTGGTGACAGAGACCATATGATTTACATATGTAAACAAATTATTAATGACTATGCAAATATTCCTTGTGATTCCATAGAACTATTTCTTTCACTTTGGGAAAATAATAACATGAAGAAAAAGTATTTAGGAAAGAGAGTACTAAGTGAAACCCATTTTATCCAAAGATCTCAATAGTAGAGGACAGGTTGATTTAATGGATTTCCAATCAAACTCAGTTTGAAACTATAAATTTCTAATACAGTACCAAAATCAACTATTAAACAAAAGTTTGAAACATTAAATTTCTGACATCCTTCAGAGAATTTTTAGTGCACCCCATTAACTGCAAAGTGACAATGGTTGTGAATTTACAGCTTTGGTTATATCTGAGTTAAAACTTAAGTGGCCAGAACTTTATTTCCCTTAGTTGACATTTTAAACTTCAGTACGTATCATGTTATTATGTACAATGTACCTAATGTATTTAACTGTGAATAAATGTCTTTTTATTTGCCTGCATTTATCATACAGTTAAGATTAATGCCTGGACACATTTTTCAGGATTTAAGAATAATGTCTAGCATCCTTTAGGCAATAGACTTACTGCCTAGGCATTAGCTTATTGCCTACGATTTAAGCTTAATGCCTTATTTCACTTATTGCCGCTAACATATATATGCCAATATTTACTTGAAAAATATAAAAGATAATACATAATTCTTACTATTCATGAATACTTTTTAATTAATTGCTTGTTTTACGAGCAATGATTGGCTTTATTGTTAAATTTGATTTTATTTTGGATTAATCTTAAAGGGGCATTAGCTGACATATTCATGTTCACAGACTTGACTCATATCCTCATATATTTGATTTATAACATACTAAAACATATATCCATACTACAAAAAGTCTAATTTTAACAATCACCAATTGATGTCGTCGGAGCTTAAAATACAATATTATTACAGTATCTCCATTCTAATGAATTTTGAGAACTACAAAGTCATATTTAATTTCATATCTACCATATAAAAGTATATAAACCTTAAGACCATTAATGTTAGTATATTTTTTTTATAAAAGTAGGGGGAACAATTGCAAGGTGATCTGACCTTATAATTATGACGTCTTGAAAGGCTATTTTATTTTTTTGCTTTGACGCCTTTGTTTTGGTTATTGTATTACTATAAATAAGTTTCTTTTTCATTGTTTCATAATAAAGTGAGGTTTTTTGTGTTGAATATTTTTTAATCATGTTTTGGTTAGTGTATTGCTATAAAAAAAATTCATTGTTTCAAAATAAAGTGACTTTCTAAAAAGGTTTTTTGTGTTGAATATTTTTTTAATGTTAAGATACCAACCGCTATTAAACTCAACAACAATAACATTTTGAATCTTCATTGTTATTACTCATACCAAGCTAAATACATGCTAACTGCATGACGAATTGACATCAAAGCTAGTTAAAACAACAATCACGATTTTCAAACACATTACAATAACACCAAGTTTAGCTGTGTAAACACCATATTAACAGTAATCATATGTACATAATTAACATATAATAATTAATCATCAAATCAATTTAAAACAATATAAAATATTTTGATATAAACATCTTATAATTCATCAGGCTTTTTAACAAAAAAAAAGGGTGCAAAAAGACCCAGGGAGCGAACATGTAGGGTGCGAACTTATAGGGTGCGAATGTGTATTGGGCGCGAACAGACCCGATACCGACTAGACTTAAACCCAGATTTCGGATTTACAATCGACATGACAAATCACTAGTCCAATTGAGACAAGGTCAGGTAACACTTTAAGATCAATATATTTGTTTAAAACAAAAGAACACCTGTTACAGATGCAACTATAGTTGGTGGTAATGTAGGCAACGGTGTGGTGGTAGTTGTTGGGGCCTGTGTCGTGGCTGCTTCTGTAGTAACTGTGGATTCTTCGACAGTAGTCTGTGCTCCAGTCGTTGTAACATCATTGGTTGTTGTTTCAATATTAACTGGAGAAGTCTGACAGGATACAAATAAGCAATGGTTTAGAAAAAATGTCAGAAGACAAGCTATGACAAGAACCTGTTCGCCTTTCGCCGCCATGACATATACAAACAATGAATTGTGGGTCAAAGGTGTATCTAAATAATCCCGAACAACCGCTCTAGAAAATCTTTCTGTTGCTTTGAGTAATTTTAGGCACATATAATGGATATAATATTTCTAAGCTTTCTTGTCATAAAACGATTTTTACGTACTCGAAAATTATTGAAATGTAAAATTAATTGTGAGGTGGGTACTGTAGTACATCTCTTAATCTACTCCTACGGAAATTTCCGAACTCTGACGATCATCGGCGCGTGAAATCAAAAGAAGCCGACAGACTACACAAACTGTAAACAAAGGTGGTATTTTATGGGTATAATATCATATTAGATGACATTGCATTTTATGTTAACATAAAGTCAATTTACATATAAAACATTTGGAACGTGCCAAGTTACTTTTAGGTGTCTTCATATCTATTGCTATTTTCGATTTAACATATACATGGTGGCCAGATGAACTCTTACAGTTACAGTGCAGATGTGTATCTGTATGAATACGTTGTTGATACGAATATTGGCTCACATATAATGGTTGAGAGAGCGCTGTCGAATTATTGACAGTGCATAAGAGCAGTTGTCAAGTGCTCAACACTTAATGTGGGCACTACAGTTGTATGTACAGTGTATTCTAGACGGTTAGACTTGATCAATGTTTTCACAAATATAAATGATTTTGAATTTATCACAGTTGGTCTTTTCACCACTAAACACCACAACACACCACTAAATACATCGAAATACCATATATACTAGTACTACCCCCTCATATTTATACAAATTAGTTATAAATGATAACCAGAGAACCAGGGTTGACAGAACAGAACACTTTCAGTCCAAACAACATTCTTTTTACATTTAATTATTGTGATAATCTCACATGAAATAAAATGTTTTAAACATGTTAAATGTTTTTTAATTTGATTCTCAACTACAGACCTGTTTACCACCACGATTTTAGCGTAGTTTCCACGATTTTTGGCACACAAATTACGCTCTACGCCCAAATAGGTAATTTCTATGCTTTCAGAGATTTTACAGTAAAAAATAATCGGCAGTGTGTAGTTTTGTGTACAAAGGAAGTTATCCCAATGCAAAACAGAGTCTTTGTCTTTTACATGCTTGAAAATGATTGTATAAGTATATCTTTCAAACGTTCTGGTGATCATGACTGTCAAGTTTGACACACAGCACGATGCCGAAACGAAAATATCATGGAGAAAACGTTGAAGGGGAAAATGAAAAAGACCAGCAGAAGAAGTTTTTTTCAATGTTTTAGGCAAGAATATATCTTGATTCATTCAAGAAGGGAGACCAATATGTACAATGCAGGTTATACATAACGGACTTCTCATCATCATGTGTGCAAAATCTAGTCATTGTTGTTTTACTGACTTATTTTTAAAAGTTTGAATAAATAATTTGAACAGTTCAAAGGTTTTTCTCGCTGCATTGAAGACCTGTTGGTGACCTTCTGCTGTTGTCTGTTCTATGGTCGGGTTGTTGTCTCTTTGACAAGTTCCCCATTTCCATTCTCAATTTTATTATCAATTAGTTGCATATATTGTGATGCCAGATTATATTCATGATGCTTAAGCTGTTAAGAGATTTAACACAAACTAAAAACAATAGATAATAGGATTAAATTTTATGCAACTTACATGTAATTTATTTTATCGTTTTGTTGTGAAATATTTCTGTTTTCCTACAGGTTAGTGGTTCGACTGTGTCTGTGAGATCATTTATTTGACATTGTATCAAAAGAGTAACGGTCCTAGGACTGCTTTCATGGCTTTGTGGAACACAATAGTCGACTGTGAAGTCTTACCATTGTTTTCCTTCTTCTACCACTTTTATTACCTGTACATGTATGTCAAGAACATATTTAGCCAGTTGTTTATTGGTCCTCAGATTCCATATTTACCAATTTTTGACAGAAGTTTCTCATGGGATGCTGTGTCGAAAGCTCTTAAGAAACCTAAGAATGGCAATATCAGAGTTGACACAATTCATTTATGTTAATTATAAGCTGATCAGTTTGATATTTTGTTTTTCTAAGAATTTCATTATATGGCACAACAATTTTAAAGTATTATGTTTATTTTAAAAATTTAAGTCCCTACAAAGATTCTATTTGAGTTTATTAATTTATGTATTTTATCTGCTTACAGATGCCTTTATCAGACTTTATATGGTCAGTGCAGACACACACCAATGGAATTAAAAGAAAGATCTCTGGAGATGCCTGTTCTCAAGAATCTCTGGTAATTTCACAATAGTGAGAAAACCTTTTTTGTGTAACATATATATGTCATATAGAGTGATGAATGGAGCATTTTAAACCACATTTTCTAATGGAAATATTTGGTTAATGAAATGGTGAAATATGGATTGAGGGAGGATGCCAACAGTTTCTGTGCAATAAATAATGTACTGTTCAACAAACGCTTTTCAAAATTTGATATGTTGTTACTGATAACAAAACACAGGTCAAGTTTGAATCGATATTGACAATTTTCAATTTTACTGTTCAGGAGTCATGGTCCTTGATAGATTAGAAAAGTTGAAAATGGTTTGATTACTGAACAAAGAAGTACATTAGTTAGTCATGTTATAAATGTTACATTTGTTTATCATGTTTATAGTAAAATATCTAAATGCCTTGAGTCCAAGTTGATTCATTATACATGTATCTATTGCTACTGCAACATAAAAGAACAAAATTTCTTTTTGAACAGTGAAAAGGACTGAATGTTAATTGTAGGTTACTTTTTAGATAGGAATTTAAAAGTAGAACTTAATATAAGTACTTAATACATAGACAGCCCATTTTTAGCAGCCATGAGACTCAATCCCCTTAGTCATGTTAGTAGACAATGAAATTATGACCTTGCTTCTGCCATTTACAAACAACTAAATATGTATCATATGAAAATTAGATAATGTGGTATGATTGCCAATGAGACAACTCTCCACCTAAGACCAAATGATATAGTTAATGACTAAAGGTCATAGTACAGCCTTTAACAATGATGTATATCTCCTTTTTGATATAACTTCATCTTCAAAAATAGAATGCATGAAACACAAATCTCAGTAAAAGTTCTAAACATTCATATTTTGTATTTTTAAAGCAAAGAACTTCCTGCATACTCCCTTTTGTGATGTTCACCTTCATAAGTTTGTTCTTTTTCATGTACTTAAAAATTCCCAAAAATAATCTCTTTATTCCTCCTTTCAGGAACAACAGAGTAAAAAATGCAGAGTTATTTCCCCTGCTGGTGATTTCAATGTATGTGAAATGGATGATGAAAATCATAATGAGATGTCATCACAGAACCTCAACAGCCAACTACAAGTAAATATCAAAGATATAGCATGATCATTTCTGGATTCTTATCAAACTCATATTTAAAAAAAAAAAAATTTTGTTCTCTTTACATATTTAGACCATAACAGTTTTTGAAAGGTTATATATTCACTTGACAAAATTTTAATAATTAAAAAAGTCTGAAATTCAAAATGCTAATTGCAATGATAAGCTTGGACAATGATCTAGTTATTTAAGTATGTATGTCTCAAAGGAGATGACCAGGTATATGTTCACATGTAGTCACAATACTTTACTCCTATCCCTGATTTGGAAATTACTGATTTTGACAAACACCAGAGTTGTTTCTTGCATTGTGCAAAATGAACTTACATTTGTATTATGGAGGGAACCAATTGTGATACATGAACTGCTTTCTCCCTTTTTTGGTTTGGTGTTTATTGTATTGATCAATATTTATTTTTCTGTGTAGTATTTTCTTCCACTTGTGGTGTTTGATTGCCCTCTTAAGTAGTCCCTCTCCATTTCCCACAACCCATACATTTTGTACATTGTCTATTTTAAGTTCTTTGAACTTTGAACTCTGGGAAAACTTGTTTCTCCAATCATACATTAACATTCTATTATCTTTCAGAATGACAGATCTGAGTCAGAATCTCAAAGTGTACCTAGGCTACAGGGACAGCAGCAATTGACATGCCCTAGTCTCCTAGTATCTCAACCATCTGGTCAAGGATTTTTATCTCAACAACCATCTGGTCAAGGATTTTTATCCCAACAACCATCTGGTCAAGGATTTCTATCTCAAGAACCATCTGGTCAAGGATTTTTAACTCAAGAACCATCACATCATGGATTTTTATCACAACAGTCTAGTTCTAACTTTTTACCACATCAATCAAATCCTGATTATTTAAGTCAGACTGGACTTTGTCCATCACTGCATGACCAACAGGTTAGAAATATATATTTTAGAGTCTCAATACATGCATGTTTTGTATTAAAGTTCAGATGAAACTGTGTTTACACAAGATAAAGTTTAGTTCCACTAAGCATTAAAACATTATTGTTCCTGTGGTGGGCATTCAACAAAATTTAAATTTTGCTTAAACTTAAAAAAATTCTCAAAATCATGCAATCTTCAATTTTCTCAAGCCATAAAAAATGATAGTCATTTGTAAGTTTCAGAGTTTAGTGTGGCATCCATTTGGCTGAAGTGGTATACATTATTGTTTAGGGGCCAGCTGAAGCCTGCCTCCAGATGTGGAATTTTCTCGCTGCATTAAAGACCCATTGTGGCCTAAGGCTGTTTTCTACTCTTTGGTCTGGTTGTCTCTTTGACACATTCCTCATTTCGATTCTCTATTCTATAAAATAAATGAATGCATAATTATGTCCATCCATACATATTAATTGGTTTTTATTTTTTATACTAAAAGAAATACTGTAAATTCAAAAATTATTGCTAGGTTTTTATTAATGCGAATAATGCGACAGTGTGAGTATCGCAATAATAAGAACTCACATTTTGTTATCTGATACATATGTCTGTAGGCAGATTTTCAGGAAATCGCAATAATTAATATCACATTTTTGTCCATTCTCCAAAAAACGCAATAATAAATGGACGCATTAATTTCTGAATTTACAGTACTCAAAGATACCAGGCTTATTATTTTGTATGCCAGCCTTTGTTTCGTCTACAATAGACTCACCAGTGACACTTGAATCAAAAAAGTTCAAAGGCCAAATCAATTATGAAGTTGAAGAGCATTGTGGACCCAAAAATTCTGAAAGGTTTTGCCAACTACAACTGATACATTCAGTCTGTTATTTATGTAGCATTAAAACAAGTTCTTAACCTATATGGCAGTCTGTATCAACACTATATATATATAAACTATGCAAGACCATTTGATTATAATTACAGAACAACATGATAATGAATATAAATGAAGAGCTTTATTCTTGTACAAGTCTGTTGTCTGATGAAGAAATGGCATGTACCTCCATGGAATCTGACTTTGTACCAAATCAACAACAATATAATGCTAGAGACAGTTCTGTGTAAGTAATCATAATATCATTATCTTCCTATATTGAGAAAAGTCAGGGATGGTCTCCTTTCTCTTGTTTCTCCCAAAAAACAAAAACTGTTATAGTTTTAAAAGGGTGAAATAAAAGTTGCTGTCTCTGTGGGAAATTTCAAAGTGATAAACAGGTGGCTCTTTGAAATTAAGAAGTCAGAAAGAGCTTCATTTTCCATTTCTTTCTTACTTTTATGTATCTACAGATATTTTGAGGTCTGTTTGCATGTATGTTATTAGTGTAATGTGGTACATGTATTATCTTTGGTGTTTAATCATTGTCCTTGAGAAACTTTGATACAATTGTTTAGTGTCCTAAAGTAGAGTTTGATTGCTTTTTGAGAATAAATCAATAATGAAAAAGACCAAAATATTAGAATGGGAAAATCTTTGCCTGTATTTTAGGAAAAACTGTGGAATCATTTATTTTCGTTGGTACCAATTTTCTTTGATTGAGGAAAAATTGTATTTTCTTAATTATTGATTTCATTGTTTTGCCAAAGTCTGCATACAAGCCTACAGAACAATAATTATTCATTAAACATGGCAATTCATGGTTAGCCTAAACCCACAAAAGAAAAATTGGTATCCCCTAAGATATACTGTAAATTTAAAAATTAATTTATTATTGTGATTTTTGAAGAATGGACAAAAATGTGAGATTAATTATTGTGATTTCAGGAAAATCTACATAAAGATATATGTATCAGATTTCAGAATGCAGGTTGTTATTATTGTGATCCTCACCCAATTGCATTATTCACAATAATTTTTATACGCCCGTTTACGGGACATATTATGGTATACCGTTGTCCGTCTGTCCGTCCGTCCGTCCGTCGTCAACATGTCAGACATTAACTCAAAAATGCTTTAACTAATTTGTATAAAACTTTGGTGAATTGTTTAAATCTATTGACGTGAGCTCCCTTTCTTTTTTATAAAATTTAGATTTTACGTTTCTGAGTTATGGGGTTTTATTCATTAAAAAAAGGGGGATTTTTCAGTTTTCGGACAATAAGTCAAGAATGCTTTCACCAACTTGCAAGAAATTGTGGTGAATTGTTTATATCTATTGACATGAGCTCCCTTTCGATTTTTATGAATTGTAGATTTTACGTTTCCAAGTTACAGGGTTTTATTCATAAAAAAAGGGGGGATTTTCCAGTTTTCGGACAAAAACTCAAAAATGCTTTCAGCAATTCTTATGAAACTTTAGTGAATTGTTTGTATGTATTGATGTAAGCTCCCTTTAGAATTTTATAAATTTTACATTTTAAATTTCTGAGTTATGGGGTTTTAGTCATTAAAAAAGGGGGTGATTTTTCAGTTTTCGGACAATAACTCAAAAATGCTGTCACCAATTCTCATGAAACTTTGGTGAATTGTTTATATCTATTGATGTAAGCTCCCTTTTTATTTTCATAAATTTCTAATATGACATTGAGAATTAATTGAACTTTATTTGTTTATAGTCTGACAACAGATTTACTAAGTATTGCACAACAGCAAGAAATCTTTAATTGAATATAAATTCAATTCATATAACCAATTTCAAGTTCTTTGACTACATTTATTCAGAAACCTATAATATGTCAAATATTTAATTACAATCCAAATTCAGACCTGAATCAAGCTTGAATATTGTGTCCATTTTTGCCCCAACTGTTCAGGGTTGGACCTCTGCGGGCGTATCTAGCTGCGCTCAGCGAAGCAGTTTATTGAATTTGCAGTACATGAATCCACAGTATAACATGTATAAGGGCTATTCTATTAAAATGGATGTTGATGGTAAGGAGGGGACTTCCAAAATCCCATAAAATGAACTTGCAACAAAAAAATTACATGCAAGCTGTGTCATAACACAAATCTTACCTTCCTACCCTTTCTTTTTCTTTTAATGGAATAGCACTGAAGTTCAAAAGTAAGAGTGTTTGTATAAACTATTTTTATATTTGAGGCACATTAATGAATCAGAAAAATAAAACTATATTTTTGGTTATATTATAAAAGTAGATTTTTCTATCAAATAAGTTGTTTAATTTCAGTCATGGTTTGTGATGGCTGACTTCCTGTTGTAAGTCGTCTTATATCACCTCTTATAACCAAATAATAGCAGTGTTCTCTCCAGACTCTGTAAGCATTGCACAAATCTATAAATCTATTTTTTTAGATACAATGCCATCAAAATTGCACCACACTTTTTTAATTTCATCTAGCATAATTGATATGCAGTCGTTTCTCTTAACAGATGAGCTAGAAATTTGTCACAGTTTTCTGACAGGATATGCAATTTCATGAACTCGTGTAGAAGAGACACATTTATACACCAGCAGAGTTTTATCATCACCAAATTTGCCTGTAAAAAAATATAAGTAAGAAGTATGCCCTATTCAATATTGTTACTATTGCTAATGGTAAAACTAAAACCTGCGAGAATGGAAAATGAATTTGGCATACATTGATCACAAAACCAGACTGCTGCAAGAGGGATAAAACTCGAGAAAATCAAAATGTATTTATCATGTCACTTAATTACCTGTTTATAGACAATGATGTTGTCACAGAAGCAATTTTTCTGTAGTTCTTCAATTTTTTTTTATTAAATTTAGTTAACTTTTTAAAAATAGCTGTATGTTGAACCTAATCTTTTTACCCAAAACCCAAAAAAAGCTCAAGCAAATAAGTTCTAGCTTGCTGACTTATATTTCTAGGGAGGACACTGCTATTTCTAAATCAGTTGGAGTGGTTTTAATTTTAATATGTAATCGATTCATTCATCTCCATACTAGCCATAGATTCTGATTAAAGGGGTATATATACAGAAATATAATATATATCTATACCTATATACATACTATCTCCATAATTAAAAGTTCTACCAACAAAAAATCCTCCAAATCTTAATGTTCTAGATAGGCTTGCTATACTATATTAAAAGGTAAATAATTGTCCTTTTGAGTTAAGTCATGGTTGGCTTCATTTTAGACCTATTGTGTTAAATGTATTGCTATTAATTAAATAGTATTTAAGAACAAATTAGGGTTGTTGCTAGACATTACATGGCTATGTGGTTGCATTTATTTTATTCATCTCTTTTAACTTTTGATTTGGTGGACAGATGTTTCATTGTCAATAACAGTTTCTCTCTTTTTCATTTCCTTGCCAAAAGTAGTATGTGGTAATTAGAGTGCACATCTTGGATAGTAATTAATATAAGGAAAGTTCATAGAAAAAAAAACTTAAGTCACATGAAATCATGAATGATATTGGTCAATGCAAGCTGGACTTATCAAATGATGAGCACAAAGATGCATTATGTATCTGACTGTCAAGTTTTATAATTACAACCACTTACTTATAAATTAAAATATCATCCTTAAATTATTTTTCTTTATCCTTTAATCATTTTGAAATCAAGACTTAAAGAATAATTAGTAATTTGATATTGTATCTCTTTCAATTTTTGTACTTCCCAAGTAAAAAAGGCGAGAACCTGAAGTTTTATGTGAATGTCCAACCATTGCAAATACAATTCATACAGAAATGTTTTGACATCTTGGATAGTAATAAACATAGATTATTGATTTGTTTTATACATTGATAATTGGCTTAAGGTTTGCCAAAGACAGATCTAAGCATAATTTACGGCAACATTATTCATCCATAATATGCAATCAATATATCTCCATCAGTGTCTAGACAAATAACAGAAAAGTTAGCTTTATTTCAACACTGAGTGGTCAGAGTAGTTCATCTAGTGTATTACTTGCCTGTCAACACTGAGGTTGTGAGTTCGAACCTAGCACATGGCAGGTGTGTTTGACTCCAATCTTACTTGATTAGGAATGGAAGTTTTCCAGCAGAAGGTCAGTGGTTCTCTCTGGGTTCTTCTACCAATAAAAACTGGCTGCTGCACAACAAAATAACCCATAGTGCTGAAAGTGGTGTTTTAACACCAAATAATCAATCAACTTATTCCAGTTTATTTGAATAAATAGATAAAATTAAGTTAGGACTTTTCAGATTCACAAAAAAACCAGGGAAACTTAGCAATCTTAGCCAATACTGTTAAACTTAGTCATACTATCACCATTTGTAAGATTCATTTATATTATATATATAGTTTGTATTATTTTGAAACCCTTAGTCTGTAGCATGCAGCCTGTTCCAGTTTATCTGATTATCCAGCACCTATTTTAATAAATATTGCCTACAAGTTGAACACAACCAGTCATGTTATTAATTGAAGCACTAGCAAAAACTAATCAAACCAATCTTATATTGAGTATGCCAGACATGTTATAATTCAGTATTAGGCCTTATAATTGAGTATTAGGCCAGACATGTTATAATTGAGTATTACATGTAGGCCAGACATGTTATAATTGAGTATTAGGCCAGACATGTGTTTTGTCTTCGTTAGACCCATCAGGGACAGTCTATACTAACGGGAATGGTCACTTATAACAATGTCTATACAAATTTGCAGACAGAACTGTGCTGTCTCTGATGTCATGTGACTTCATAGCAAATCATTTCACATTTACGAAGTGTTCTTCATAACTATATGTTCCAGTTTAATGAAGTAACATTTTTATGAAATTTTATACATTTTATCATTGCAAAATGCTGTTTTTGAAAAGATTTCTCTGATAGTTTTTAAAATATAGACCTTTGAACTTTGAGGTATTTTGTTAGTAAATTTGTTTAATATGTAACCTGTAACCCCTTTTACACGACTGGAGTGTTCTTCAAAACGATATGTCTCTGTTTAATAATTTAACATTCTTTTAAAATCTTATATTTTTTGTCATGGTAGATGGCTATTAATCATATTTTATATTGAAAAATATTAAATTACAATGTACTTTGAAACACGCAAATAACTACTATAGCTTCGTATATCAGAGATATGAAACTAAGTTTATTGTTGGGTAGTAGCTTTATACGGGAGGCGTAGTTATTTTATTAAAATCAATAGAGACGAGTCCCATTAGTATGGACTGTCCCTGGACCCATCAGTGGCACTCGTGTCAACTTCATATTACAGTCAAGTCGTATTTTCAAGCAACAGCAAAAATATTATCAAGCAAAAGCAAAAATGTTTCCATTTTCTTCAGCAGACACCTAAAAAATGTTTTAGATATGGTCAATTACAATTTTAAAGGACAATTTCTGGGTTTTTGGGTAAAGATTGCATTAAATGGAATCAAAACCCTATGGTTCTGACTTGATTTCTAAATCTTCCAAGGTTTATCACTACTTTTGAGATATTTGAAGAATCTCAATTTAACCTTTAGTATTTAAAAGTTGAATATTTGATAATAAAGAGAAGTAAATATGATAGAAGGAGTAGAGTAAAAATAAATTAACGGAAAAGAAAGCATAAATTTGCATATGAAAAACCAGAAGACAAAGAAAGAGTACTTTTATTGCTGTTTTTCATCTGAAAGTCATAGCAAGGACTTCAACATGGAGCATAGACTGTTATCTCACTGGAATTTCCTGTTTCATGAAGCAAATACACACCTGAAAGATATTTTTGAACCAATAGGTAGCTGTACATTACATGTTTTCAAGGAATTCAGAAAAAAGTATTGCAGTTGGTCTAATCTGCAATTTGTGAAATGACATACTGATGAAATAATTAAAATCAAAATTTACAGTAATTATTCCAATAACGTTGATATAATGAAATGATGCAGTAATGTTTTGAGTTTGTGGTTTATTCTTTTTGTGTTTTTACAGGGTAGGAGATTTAACACCAACAATGGAACGTGTGAAGTGTTACTGTCGTCCAACATGGGAGGGTACCTTTGATATGAAACCATATGTGTCAGATTATTATTAAAGAAGTTACCTTGGAAATGCAGCTGTATGTGTCAGACAACTATTGATGATCATGTTTTCATGATTTACTCCATACTTTAGTCTCATTTGCCATTATATATTCACACTATTCTTGTTGCCAATATTTTGGTCATTTTTTATTCAATAAATTTAATTGTATTGGGCCTTAGGCCAAGTCTTTGTAAGACTTCTCCACTATAACGTCTTGTTAAGAGTATTTTGTTGCAGGTTATTACTTTTTTAAAGCATTTTTTTTATATATAAATATCAACCATATTTTTTCTTTGGTGAGATTTTTATGATCTAAGTTTTTTTTTTTATCAGAAGTACTATACATATCAAAGGTGACTGTCCTAATCTTGTTAAGCTAACAAAGGCTAAAAGGGAATGGTTGCACAAAATTTAAGGATCATTATAGAATTATTGAGTAACTTACTTAACTAATTACCATAAAAATTGTAGTTCTCTTTGAGTAAAGTGTTCTATAGATACTAGTACCTTTGACAGGAATATATGTTTTTTGTCAGATTTTTTTAATGCAACAATTGTATTTTATGTATAAACATTTTATATTTGGATATTTCTGGCATTATGTTTCAAACATATATGTTGGGGTTTTTTTAAATTGAAAAGATAGAATTATTTTGTATTCACAAAAATAGGTATTGAAAAAAAGGTATGGAAGTGAATTTTATATATGATAACATTGCAACTAATTTTTTGGTCTTTCTGGTCATTTAATACTGTCTTCTTCAAGAAACATAGCTTTTGATACTGTTCTAGTTGTTACATCCCATGAAGCTGTTCTATATGATCATTACTGAATCTTAATTGGCACTAAGCCATATGCACTGGGGCAGCTATATTCATAAATCAGTGCTACATTGTGTTTAACATTATAATTATTGCTCATTCAAGCCTGGTAGATTGAAGTTATATATTCATAGTGTGGTAAACAACAGATTTTATACATTTTCTTGTTGATTAAGAATTTTGTAAAGTTTGTTATATCTTAATGTTAGATCTGTATATTGTTAGTGTTCTCATTGTCATACAGTTTTTACAAAGTAAAGTTTTATATTGTCACCAGTTTTAGTTGTTTATGAGAGAGAACATTTGTCATGCAGTATACTCAATCATGATTGATAAATAAGAAAGTCAGAACATAGCAGAAAAAACAAAACAAAAATGACATGGACCAGTCTTAGAAATTAAAAAGTTAGGGTGGGTTAATTACCACAAAAGAGATGATTTCAATTTTCTTATTGTGAACTTTCCATTTGTAGATATTCTTCCCAAAAAGTCACAACAAGCTTTTGTCATCATAAACTATTTCACTTATGGTATATTTTTTTTCTCCAATTTGATGACAAAATGGGCTGGTATAATTTTCGCTAAATGGGAAAATACACGCAAAAAATAACTGTATCGTATTTTTAAACGACCGCAAATTTTTTGCAGTCGTATATTGGTATGACGTTGGCGGCGTCGTCGTCGTCGTCCGAAGACATTTGGTTTTCGCACTATAACTTTAGTATCATTTAATAGAAATCTATGAAATTTAAACACAAGGTTTATGACCACAAAAGGAAAGTTGGGATTGATTTTGGGAGTTTTGGTCATAACAGTTTAAGAATTAGGGGCCAAAAAAGGGCCCAATAAGCATTTTTCTTGGTTTTCGCACAATAGCTCTAGTATAAGTAAATAGAAATCTATGAAATTTTAACACAAGGTTTATTGCCACAAAAGGAAGGTTGGGATAGATTTTGGGAGTTTTGGTCCCAACAGTTTAGGAATTAGGGGCTAAAAAAGGGCCCAAATAAGCATTTTTCTTGGTTTTGGCACAATAACTTTAGTATAAGTAAACAGAAATCTATGAAATTTAAACACAAGGTTTATGACCACAAAAAGAAGGTTGGGATTGATTTTGGGAGTTTTGGTCCCAACAATTTAGGAATTAGGGGCCAAAAGGGTCCAAAATTAAACTTTGTTTGATTTCATCAAAAATTGAACTATTGGGGATCTTTGATATGCCAAATCTAACCGTGTATTTAGATTCTTAATTTTTGGTCCCGTTTTCAAATTGGTCTCATTAAGGTCCAAAGGGTCCAAAATTAAACTTAGTTTGATTTTAACAAAAATTGAATTCTTGGGGTTCTTTGATATGCTGAATCTAAACATGTACTTAGTTTTTTTATTATGGGCCCAGTTTTCAAGTTGGTCCAAATCGGGGTCCAAAATTAAACTTTTGTTTGATTTCAACAAAAATTGAATAAATGGGGTTCTTCGATATGCTGAATCTAACCATGTATTTAGATTTTTGATATTTGGGCCCGGTTATCAAATTTATCCACATTGAGGTTTAAAGGGTCCAAAATTGAACTTTATTTGATTTCATCAAAAATTGAATTCTTGGGGTTCTTTGATATGCTGAATCTAACCATGTATTTAGATTTTGGATATTGGAATACCACAAAGGGATGGTAAGAATTGTCTTTGGGAGTTATGGCTCAAACCGTTAAGGAATAAGGTGCAAAAAAGGGGGGAAAAGGGTTTCCAGGTTAATGGACAATTACTTAAGTACAAAACATAATTTAAAAGGCAGTGTAAGGTTGGTAATTGAAACTCATTTAAATATCTCACCTAAACTGCTTTTAAATTATGTGTATTGGAAATTTGCAAAAAACTTTATTATTAATAAATTCCATTGGAAATTTGCCAATAACTTTAGTTTAATGAACTTCATTGGAAATTTGCCAATATAAAATTTTGCTGATGAAGCTTTTTTGTTTATCTCACCTAAACAGCTTTTAAATTATGTATATTGGAAATTTGCCAAAAACTTTATTATTAATAAATTCCATTGGAAATTTGCCAATAACTTTAGTTTAATGAACTTCATTGGAAATTTGCCAATATAAAATGTTGCTGATGAAGCTTTTTTGTTTATCTCACCTAAACCGCTTTCAAATTATGTATATTGGAAATTTGCCAAAAACTTTATTATTAATAAATTCCATTGGAAATTTGCCAATAACTTTAGTTTAATGAACTTCATTGGAAATTTGCCAATATAAAATGTTGCTGATGAAGCTTTTTTGTTTATCTCACCTAAACTACTTATTACGTATATTGGAAATTTGCCAAAAACTTTATTATTAGTAAATTCCATTCGAAATTTGCCAATAACTCTAGTTTAATAAACTTCATTGCATTTTTTCTTTTTTCCAGACAATAACTTGTGTGTAAGTGTATGGATCTCTCTAAAATTGTACTACAAGGTTCCATACCACAAAGGGAAGGCTGGGATTGAGTTTGGGGGTAATTACTCCAAGGGGGGGGGGGGGGGGATTTTTTTCTCCAATTTTTTGGGGTTCATATTTTTTTCTTCAAAGTTTTTGTAATCTTCAATTGCACAGTATTGCGCAATAGTAAGAAATCTTCAATTGCACAGTATTGTGCAATAGCAAGAAATCTTCAATTGAAAATAAATACAAATGGTATTAAGTTGGCGTCGTCGTCCGAAGACACATTAGTTTTCACACTCTAACTTTAGTTTAAGTGAATTGAAATTTTACCATAAGGTTCAATACCACAAAAGGAAGGTTGGGATTGATTTTGGGGGTTATGGTACCAACAGTTAAGGAATTAGGGGCCAAAAATAAGCATTTTTGTAACTTCCAGACATAACTTGTGTGTTATTGTATGGATCTCTCTGACATTGTACCACAATATTCCATATCACAAAGGGAATGCTGGGATTGATTTTGGGGGTAATTGCCTCAAAATTTTAGGAATTAGGGGCAAAAAAAGGAGCAAAAAACAAGCATTTTTCTAGTTTCATGACAATAACTTATGTTTAAGTGTATGGATCTTTCTGAAATTGTTCTACAAGGTTCCATATCACAAAGGGAAAGCTGGAATTGAGTTTGGGGGTAATTGCCCAGAAGGTTTAGGAATAAGGGGCCAAAAAGGGGCAAAAAATAAGCATTTTTCTAGTTTCCAGACAATAACTTGCGTTCAAGTGTATGGATCTCTCTGAAATTGTACTGCAAGGTACCATACCACAAAGGTAAGGCTGGGATTGATGATGGGGGTAATTGCCTCAATATTTTAGGAATTAGGGGCCAAAAAGGGGCAAAAAACAAGCATTTTTCTAGTTTCAGGACAATAACTTGTGTGTAAGTGTATGGATCTTTATGAAATTGTACTACAAGGTTCCATATCACAAAGGGAAAGCTGGGTTTGAGTTTGGGGTAATTGCCCTAAACATTTAGGAATTTGGGGTCTAAAAGGGGGCAAAAATTAAGCATTTTTCTAGTTTCCAGACAATAACTTGTGTTCAAGTGTATGGATCTCTCTGAAATTGTACTGCAAGGTACCATACCACAATGGGAAGGCTGGGATTGAGTTTAGGGTGATGAATCATAAGGGGGTTCAAAAAATTTGGGGGGAGGGATTTTTTTTCCCCTTTTTTTTCTTTAAAATTTTGCATTTTAAATTGGTTTATTTCTGATTTATATATAAAAGCAAATAATAATGATATGGTTTGAATAGGTAAATTAAAAATTTATAAGTTCTTAGACCACATTCATTCTGTGTCAGAAACCTATGCTGTGTCAAATATTTAATCACAATCCAAATTCAGTGTGTATCAAGCTTGAATGTTGTGTCCATACTTGCCCCAACTGTTCAGGGTTCGACCTCTGCGGTCGTATCAAGCTGTGCATAGCGGAGCATTTTATTTGTCTCGCTTTGATGGAGTCAAAAAGTGAGACATAGGTATGCTGTTTCTGGCGACAGCGGTTTCAACAATGTATTAGTTTGTGATTAGGTCTAGTTCATGGTGAACCACTAGTGGTAGGTCAATGATATTTGGTATGCAGTTGTATTAGCATTGGCACATCTCATTACCATAGATTATTTGGTCCTTACCCCTCAGTCATGGTCTATTGACTTTGAAACTTTTGCTTAGTTTACATGTATTAGTTTGTGATTAGTTCAGTTTAAGGGGAACCGTTAGTGGTAGGTCAATGATAATTGCAGTTGTATTATCATTAGCACATCTCATTTCCATAGATAATATTTGGTCCTTACCCCTCAGTCATGGTCTATTGACTTTGAAACTTTTGCTTAGTTTACATGTATTAGTTTGTGATTAGGTCAGTTTAAGATGAACCACTAATGTTAAGTCAATGATATTCAGTATGCAAATGTATTGGCATTTGCAAGTTTCATTTTCATGGAGATTATATAACCCCACCCCCTAATTATGGTCCATTGACTTTGAAACTTTTACATAGTTTACAAGTTAATGTTTGTGTTTAGGTTTGTTTAAAGGGAACGACTTATGAAAAGTCAATGGTATTTGGTTTGCAGTTGTATTAGCATTGGCACATCTCACTGCAAAAGGAAAAAAATAAACAGTTAAGAGTTTTTAGTGTAAAAATTATATTCTAGTCATTTTTGGGGCCCTTTATAGCTTGCTGTTCGGTGTAAGCCAAGGCTCCATGTTGAAGGCCGTACTTTGACCTATAATAGTTTACTTTTACAAATTGTGACTTGGATGGAGAGTTGTTTCATTGGCACTCATACCACATCTTCTTATATCTATATATGATGTTGGCGTGTAGCTATTGTTGAATATGCACATTGATACATGTGAGCGACAAAAGGTCGCAAGACCCTCTATTTTAATGACAGGAGACAGGAAAACAAGTTTAAAAAAGTCTCAATGATGTCAATTATAATCCCAGCTCGCTTCGAGTCAATAGACAATGATGATTATTATTTCTGAGTGACACATTAATAACAGTTAAGTTAAAATTATTCAGCTGATTTTGGCCCCACTAAATTTTTAAGGGGTGGAATGTGGTGTTTAAACCTGATATAATTGAAACAAAGAAAAAGATGATTTTGAATTAAATACTCGTTGTAAATTTCAAATGTAGTAATAGACCATTTGTGATTGATTGATTGGTTGTTGGTGTTTTAACGCCACTTTTAGGCTATTTCGTGGTGGCCAGTTTTTATTGGTGGAGGAAGCCGTAGTGCCCGAAGAAAACCACAGACCTTGATAGGAAAAC